GATGAGGAACTAATTTAAAAGAAATATTTCTTCGCTCACATTGTTTGTTTTTACCAAGGTTGTTTACAGCTGATGGTGAGAACCTGAAAATGAAATGCCTAAAATTACAGAATCAACTTCAAGTTGAACTTAAAGTTTCATCGGAAGAGGTAGGTAAGTTGTATGAACAGTTGTAGAACTCTTATTCACAAGAGAACCAGGGAGGGGGGGATTAAAATGTTGTAGGCCATTGATACGTAGGCTGGCAGCCTCTGATGTACCTATCTAAAGGACTAAATGTATTGTGTGATTCTGTAATACACATAGATGGGAACCTAGTGGACCGATAAATTAGAGGAAATTCATGACTCTCTCTCTCTCTCTCATACACACACACATACACAGTTTCGGTGTGAACTAATGTAATTCGGGTGGTTTCATCCTGCAACAGCTGCTCTGGCTCAAGTCTGAAAGAAACCATTCCTTCATAAGAAAGCGAAATGAAGTGTTTACTTTGAATTAGAAGTCAATCGCTTCTTAGCGATAAATATCATAGAGATAAGAAAGTTGTTCAAAGTTGGCTTCTTAACACATTTGTACAGTGGTGTTGCAAAACTACTTCACCGGAAAGTATCAAATAAAACTAATGTTACATTCTTTTATAATACACTTGTCTAAATTTCTGAATAAGCTTATTTGATCGTATGGAAAACGGAGAGAAGACTGTTCAGAGTGAGTTGTTCTCTGAGCTGGGATTTCACTTCGGTAAGCATGTCAACGTTATACTAGATATCATCATCAGGGCAACATAATAAAGTGAAGTAATTGGTTGCTTATCATTTGTAAGATTTGCAGTCTTCATGGAGTCTTTTATAACTGCATAGATCCATTACTTCACCTGTATTGAAATTCAGTCCTTCTGCCAACAAAGCTTGCTATAAAGCTGGTAGTTGTCAAGAATAGAGATTCAGAACAGGAATTCGTGTTCGGTTTAGACAATAATATTTCCAGTTTCATGCCCAGTTTTCCATTAAGTTTCCCTTCTTTTCTTTTATTGGTGATTTAAGTAGCTTTTGTCATTATTTTGACGGTCTCTTCTTGCAAAAATGAAGACGCTGACAAAATGCAGGGTCTTCTCAACGCCTTGAGTAGAAATATGAGTATGTTTGGCATGCATTTCTCTGACACCTGTAAAATGTAAGATGACACTCTACGACTGGTCTGCAACCACTCCCAGCTAACGACAGGGCGTGAAGTGATGGAATGTGCCGACCATCTCACTATATTGTGGAGTTGCATCAGCTCAAACGGGCTGGTTGCTGACGCGATCCATCTCAGATACACAAGGATCGTTTGAAGTTTGTCAGCTTACATCGGCGAGAAATCTGACTGTTTATCAAAGGACCAGTATATCGCACTGAAGTCCGTTCTGTCTTGTTGAACAGCTGAGACATGGCAGTTGAAAGTAGAAGACATGTAGCGATTACTGGGTTTTGATCACAGGTTTCTTCGTAGCATTGCCCCGTTTGACAGAATCCCCATGTGAGCAATGCTGAGGTCAGGAGAAGGGTACTAAGCAAGACAGGCAAGTCGATGAACGAAGTTATGAACCTTAGTCGACTGAAACGGCTTGGACAAATACTGGGCATGTCAAGCGACAGCCTACCTCAACATGTCATCCTGGGGGAAGTTAGATAAAGTTGGAAGACGGTTCAGGGTGACCAGACTAAGACCTAGCAGCAGTCGATGAGGTCTCTTACTGTTGGTCTGAACCGTGTTGGGAGATGTAGGATGCCTGATTGGGATCCCTGAGACAAAATGAATCAAGAGTTGAGACTCTTGTTGATATGGCTGAAAATTGGTCAAAATGGCGTAGATGTATTCACTCCTTGTCACCTTCTAAGCTTAAATATTCACACTAACCTTTATCTTCAAATTGTCTATCCTATTACACAACTTTGTCTTCTTTGATGTCACGCTTATTCTATCTAACTTTTCTTTGTATACTGCTGTAAACTGTGGCAACTTGAGGTGATGGACTTGTGAGCAAGGTTCTACCCTGATTTTGTCAGTCAGTCAGATACCTCCGTAACCGGCTTTGAGATTATTGTACAGAGCATTCTTCATCCGCTTTGATGTACTATTTCTCAAGTTAGTGGTGGGTTGACTAGTGGTTTTTACCTCAGGCTGTTTGGTATAGTATGCCGTCATTAACATTCCTGAAATAAGAATGATTATTCTCGGATAGAAACTTGTTTTCCGGTAAAGTTCTCCTATCACCATACATAAGTGAGCTTCTGAACTGCCTAGAGGTTGATTTACTCAACTTTGGGACTGAGCAACACAGGTTCAAATCATCCTAGACTCCTCATGGTTGCAGGTACACTATGTTGATGAGTGTCAACAAGCATGAAACCCTTAGTGAAATACGGATACCTACCTATTGACTCCTACTACGTAACAGAAAAACTAGCATATCTTGAGTTTTCTAAAAATGTTTGACAGTCAAATACAGTAAAACGCGTTACAGAGTAAAAATGTAACGTGGAAGGTTAATTATAAGCACTTGAAGTGATCTATTTCTGTCACAAGAAACTCTATGTACACGAAGTTAGACTGGAAGTGTATTGCTTCTATGGCAAAGTTTAGAAGGAAGGGAAAATACACTAAAAATGTAGATAGAGACTCTAAAAACTACTCTGCTTCTAGATCGATTGAGTACCGAGGCACCACCACCACCATAAAATTACAACATGGACTTATTTTCATCACAATTAATGTAGCCCTGCTATTGTAGTTTTGTGAACCTTTCCAAGTTTTTCAGATCAATCAGACGTCATAGATCACGAGGATGGCTTCTAATTAGGTGAATGCGCACGAGAACGATTTGTACTACAGGCTATGAACTCCTACTATTGGAGAAGATCCCGAAGTTTCTGCAGTCTCCGCTTACCTCCTTAGCAGGAACGGCAGTGAGTGCCCGACATGGATTATCCCGCTAAGGTTGGCCGTGCCTCACACTCATCAATATATAAATACCAACCCTCTACCTACACCGATCAGACGACGTCACTTAAGATAGCTCCGCTACTTTGAAGTCAATTGCTGGAAGTTTCCTGTTTAAACACTCATCTGCCTTAGTTTTCTCACTCAGTAATTATCAGAAATCTTTCAAAACCTATGAAAAGGAATGAAACATTTTAAGAAGAAAAAGTGCTATGATCAGCTTTAGAAAGTGTTTAAGTATAAGGATCGGTGGCTGGATGAAGTCAATCGGCAGGAAGCCCTGCTCGACAGAGGTTATGTGGTTTTTGACACTCGTCAGCAAAGAGTATCTGCAAACTCGACAGGGCTGAGATCCAAACTCATGTCACCGAGTGCTTCAGTCAGGGATGTCGTTAATGAGCTATTCGGGTCGCGATTGATCTTCTGTAGGACTGAATTGGGTGCACTGATTGGTCACTCGGGGTAACCAATTTCATGCTATCTAACCGTAAGTACTGATCGAGTTCTGTCGATCATTTTGCAATGTGGCCACCAGACTAGGAGGTTCAGGATCGCAGTGCACATTGGTAGATGTTAACTGGATGGAGGCAGCTCTGAAACCAAGTTTGGTTCTTTTTGACAATCGTCATCAAGGCATATCTGCAACCTGAAGGGAACTGAGAACTAGTTGTTCAAAACTGAAGCGTAAAAACTTTGCAGCTTTGGGAGAGAAATTTTGTTGTAAGAGCAATCACCGAAAGATAGAACTAAGCCACTATTATGAATAAAGCTGTAAGAAAATATCAGTTGCTATACGATCCTAATAAGATTTTGTATCAGAGATGGTTACCTCAGATAGTCTAATAATTCTTTGCATATCACCCTAAAAACGGAATATATATGTGGGAAGCACTTCAGTAAAGAAAGCCAAATTAAAACAAACTCATGTAATGAATGTAGTCAACAAATACATAGTACAAACACTTAGTTCAATTGTGAATAATGACACCACAAGGATGAATAACAACACAAAAATAAAATCCACACATTTTACACAATTGCCGGTGTTTAGTAAATGAAGCACAGGTATCACAGAATGAGTATAAATTTAATCACAATGGCGTAACATTTTCATAAAATAATTGAAACTACTCATAAGTAGTATCAATAATGACGTGTAAATAAATCATGAAAAATGTTGAAATGTCGGGATAACAAATACAATGAAGACAACATAATTCTCACAGTGATAACTAGACTATACAAGGAAGAGGTTAAATGTCAAAAGTCTTCTCTGCACCTGTGAGCCTACATATCCAAACATGTACCATACAAGCATAAATACTGCAGAGTCAATACACAGTTTCATCAATCAACTGTTAATAAATCAGTTCGTATGATATTTCATTTTTTAGATACAGTATCATTTTGCTAAGTTCCTGCTTCCTATATTTCACCTTTTTTTCAATGCCTAATCAAAGGATATGCATCTCGAGAAGATGATGTTTTTATGACATACACAAAAAGTAGACAGTGACTAGGGTTGACACACGATGCTGAGATGATATAAAGGCATAATTAAATAACTTCTTCTGTAGGCAGAAATAAGGAAATAACTTGCATCATAATAAGAATAATAATCATCATCGCTTCACATAAACAGAAGTAAAAGTTCTCAGAGATATATCACAACATCACCCAAGTAATAGATGATAAACATGCTTAGAAAATAACTTTCCTAACAATTCTGAAGAATCTTAAAGGTAAAAATATGTTTGCATACAAAGTGTTCAGCATTAATCACAATAATAATCTTAGACAGGCTTTAATATTCATCAGATTGTATCAGATAATTTATATAACGAAAGAGGTATGATGTAACAGGAAGGACAACATACACATGTACGCACACATACATAGATACACCACAACAGAACAGAAATCCACATGAATGTATCAATAAGATCATGATGTATGCACTAGCAGAATTACTGATAATCACATACGATATGAAGCAGATTAAATGGAATGAATGATCAATGAGGTTGAAGTGGTGGAGGTATTGGCGGCGCTGGTACAGTTGATTGAATATTCAATTGATCTGTATGACTAGCAAGTACATTACCTTGATAGGAATCGGTTAATTCATCATCGAAATCATCTTTTGAATTACGCTGAACAATGTTAAAATATTTACATTGTAAGATGATAAAATAATTCGATTTTAGATAATCAAACGAAAATAAATTTATGCTAAAAAACGAAATTTCAGTTAGACATAGCAGAAAAGTTTGTTTTCATAAGAGATTAGAATTTCGCTTTAATGCCATGATGATGTATTTTCACGTTGTACGGATCAGAAGTCGATAAGCAAGAGATCTGCTCTTGACCTAAGAAGCTTCATACCCTTTTTAACATATATACAAAACTAAACATAATTCTTTAAACAAAAATACAACTCTGGTCTAGAATGGATACTAAACTCTATTTATTGATAAATATATGAAATTCTTGTTCGTCATTCAAGTCAAAGATAAGGTCCTGTTGTTGGCAGGATTATGTGTGTGTACTCCAGTTTACTTGCTTCTATGGAGCTACCATTAGGACGTTGTCAAGACGTTCTCATGAATATTTACTGGCAGGGCTAGCAAAAATATATACTGCTCTCTACATAATTTATTCGATGTGATATATAATGGTAAGACCGATGCGTTCAGAAAAATTTCCGTCCCGTCTTCTTTGTATAGCAGAACATCTGCCTAATCACAAATACAATCTTGAAGTTTGTGTAAATAGGCGTTTTCTTCACAACTTTCCGATCTATATCCATTACTTTGTTACCGTCCAATTTCATTGACTAAGATCCTCCTCATTTTCTTGAGTATCATATTCTTATTTCCCTTCTATATCTTGATTCATCATTTTTTTAAATGTAAAATTGACTTCTTATCTCCTTTATATTTCAACACCAACGTCAAATCAGTGCTTCTGTATGACTCAGAAACTTGGCGTGTTACGAAAGGCATTTCCAACAAACTACAGATATTCATCAACAACTGCCTACACTGGCTCGTTACTGAAGATCAGATGGATTGCCAGAAAGAATAAGCAGCAAGGAACTCTGGCCTGACAAGCAACCAACCAAGAACCTATCACCCAACAAATATGCAGAAGGAAGTGGAGATGGATTGGGCATACACTGAGAAGGCTGACTGGGGACATCACGCACCAGGCCAGACCGTCGAGTGGAACCCCAATGGGAAGCGACGAGTTGGGCGTCCGAGGTGAGGGTGACATGGAGGAGATCGTGCGAGGAGGAAATGAGAGCTTGTGGGCTGTCGTGGGGCCAGGTTCAAAAGATTTCAGAGAACAGAGCGCATTGGAAATGAGCTACTGAAGCCTTATGTTCCATTAGGAACCCAAGGGACAAATAATAATAATAATAATCTCCTTTATATTATACTATTTTAAGCTCTGGATTCACCGTTCAATACTTTCGAACTGTATAGCTATGATCAGAATTTTAGAAAAAAGAATTTTCAATGTAATTGACAAAGGAAATAGCTCTATTGATTCAAGATATTTTGAAACTAAGGTTATCAAACACTTTAAGCTACATTCATATAGTAAATAAGAAGAAGTTATCATTTATTCACTGTCCTGTGAAATAAGAAGGAGAAAAAATCAACATTGAAAAGCTTCCACCCGACCACTCCCTAGGAATCCAATAGAATTGAGAAAACTTGAAAACACACCAATCATAGCTCTATGTGTTATAATTTCAGGTCATAAGGTAGTATTTGATAATATCGAAACTATTCAGAAACGATTTAGAAATTATAAGGAATATCTCATAGCAGAATCTTTTCACATTAAGTGGAATCATAATTGTCTAAATAAGAAGGAATGAAGGAGTAAAATGTAGTTTGACCTCATCTCAACCCACCTTCATCTACTGATTATAACCAGTATACATACACTCTTCAAACACAACATATGAATATCATCTTTGTTCCACAATCGTGACAACCCATGATCATTTATGCAGAAGAACACTTGTCAAGTTATCATATATAAGCTTAGATATTGTTAACTCCAGCTTACTATAATTTTGATAAAGCTATCAGCAGCACTAAATAGGAAAACGTCAATTGAAACAAATCTACTATGTTTTACATTCATTGGGAAATACAAATACCAAAATAATGAATATCATTTTCCCAATACTCAAATTTGTTCAAACCATTGAATCCCAACTTGGTTTGGATATCTATAAATTTATTCATTGTCCTATTCACCTGAATTCATCCCCGAGTTGCCACACCATCTTGTGATAAACAATTTCCAAGTTTAAACTTGATTTTGACCTTGATCATCTGAAGTTTATTTACACTTGATATTTTTACACACTAAGCTTCCGGGTTATTTTTATTTATTATTGGTTCCCTGAGTTTCTAGTGGAAAATGCGGCTTCAGTAGCACGTCGCCATTCCACTCTCTCCTCTGCAGTCTTCTCTTTCAACCTGGCTTCACCACTGCCCTCAAGCTTTTATTTCTTCCTCACACAATCTCCTCCATGTCACCCTCGGATGTCCAACTCGTTCTTTCCCATTTGGGTTCCCTTGTCGAGGGCCTTATGCGTGATGTCCCCAATCGGTCTTCTCACTGTATATCCAATCCATCTCCACTTTGTTCCTCTGCATATTTGTTGGGCGATAGATTCTTGATTGGCTGGTTTGCTGCTAGGCCAGAGTTCCTCCTTGATAATTCTTATTATTCTGGCCATCTGGTCTGATCTTCAGTATGGAGTGAGCGTGGGTAGCAGATGTTGATGATATATGTCTGCAGCTTGTTGGAAATGCTTTTCGTAATGCGCCGCCAAGTCTCTAAACCATTACATAGAAGCACTGACTTGACTGACATTAGTAGTATTGAGAATCCTTATATTTTTCGCGCTCAATGCTGAGTGCAGTGCAGTAGATCTCCACACTGATTCCAGATTAATGAAGACCTGTTTTGCTGTCTTTCCGATCCTGTCTTTGACATCCTCATCTGTGCTGCCTGCAGTTGGAACGATGCTGTCTAGGTAGGTAGGTAGGTGAATGAGACAACTTTCTTTGGATTTCTCCTGTTGACGGTGATTGGTGTTTGTTGCTGTTGGTGGTAGTGGCGGTGGTTGGATATCTTCACCACCTCTTTCTTCTCTACATCAACCTGAAGGAAGTCCCGTCTTCCTTCGCTGCCCTGCCCTGCCTCTCCTGTCAACTTGTTAGTTTTCACCTCTAGATCTTCGAGTTTGTGCTACAAGACATTAGACATAAATCATCATCGTTGGCGAAATGCAAATCTTTTTCTGGGGTCTTTTCATTGGTCCAACGTAAGCCCCTGTTCTTGCTCCTCACAGTTTTTGGATGATCCAGTCCAGTCCAGTCGATCACAATCAGGAAGATGATCGGTGATAGTAGGTGGCGACCTTGTCTTACTCCTCCCTGACCTCACTTCAAAGGCATCACTAAGCTTCCCATTGTGAATTACTTGGCATGTGGCGTCGTCATATAGTTGTTGAATGAGATTGATAAAGGTTTGTGGTACTGAAACCGTAGTGTTGAAGCAGCTGCCTGCCAAATTACTTCTCAGCGCTATCGAAGAAAGGTCTTTTCAAAACCGACGAACTTTAGGTAGAGAGCTGACTGCCATTCTATGCTCTCTTCCATAATGGTGCGTTGCAACTTGATCGTCGCGTGATTTGTTTTTCCTGAAGCCAGCCAGCCAGCCTGTTCCGGTCGTGATCTAGTTGAATCCAGAGCACCTTTTAATCCTTCCAGGATGATGCGGCTTAATATTTTTCTTGGGATGGACAGGAGCATGATTCCTTCTAAGTTATGAAGACAGTTATTTGTCACAATATTTATCAGTTATTATCGAACTGTTGGTTGAATAATATAAGTAAGCGAAAGACAACAGCACCTTATTCGGATTCTTTTAAGATTTATTGATCTATATGAAAGAATCAACTACATGTCTCTGAAAATACATGTAGTACAGTTTGCTCGGGTACTCGACTTCCAAATAATAGGTGCCGAGTTCTAAACCTACTTCAGCTGAGACAACTGGCTGTTACCATGAGTCATCATACAATAAACGTGGTTTATAGCCTCGTAAACAAACTTGTACTGCATTGTCTCTAAAGAAAAATTTTCGTCACATCTTGGTTACCTTCTATCAGGTAAATAAGACACAGCTAGTTTATATTCTGTATAAAAGTTAATATGTAACTAGCATACATAAGGTGCTATATTGTATGAAAAGTGCACCATATAAACAATGAGTACAAAACAATGTCGAATTCAGTAATGAGTGTAATAATGATGGACACTGGCTAGTAGTAAGATCAAGGACATGCGTTTTGTCCTATTTGGGACTCACCAGCTGGATGTACCCACCACTCGCTGAGCGATGTTGTTCCAAATAAGACTCGAACTCGGAACCGATCGCTCGAAACTCCAGAGTGGTATCCACTGGGACACCGGGCTACGACGGGCATTTTCTTAATGGAACCCACATACCAGTTGAGACCGACCAAAGTCGTTCCAGCCAAAGATGGAATAATACAAGTAACAACATTCAGTAATTAATGGTTTTAATTCATCTCCATGTTTTACTAAAATCTCTTTGTTTGCCAACATTTGCCAACCAATGTAAGTGAGCAGCACCTGATTAGATCACATTAGTATCAGAGTATACCAACAGGTCAAGTTTGGAGAAAATATCTCTTTGTGACTTGATTTGATTTATGGTTGTCAGCAGAGGAATTCAGGAGGCGCGATCGGAGAGGTAGGCGCTAGGTTCTGGTTTCAGTGGGAACGACATTACTCACTGGGGTGCTGGTTACATCCAGTTGACGAGTTCCAAATCGGATAACACAGGTTTCCCGAATTCCACTACTAACTATTAACAAGCGAATTGTGTCACAATACATCTTCAGACAATATCGACGCATCCGAATAGGAGGTCATACGCCAACAGAGGTCGGTCAATTAGACTCACTATAACAACGGGAAGTTGCAAGTAACAGCAGATAAAAATAATGTATGTGTTCAAGATTTGTTTATTTACTTGCTCATTAGTACAAAATTAAAACACAAACCTTTTGTGTGTTGCAGAGAAATTTCAGGGTAAGATGGATAATACCATCTGAACAAACCCCAATTCACTTAAATCCAATTTCCTCTCTTATTGCGATGCTGAAATTTCTGTGTGCATTTTAAGCTACTTGTTTAATATTAAGTAGGCTAAGAAAATAACGTAAAATGTTGTGGGTAATCAGACATTTAAGATTGTTTCAAAATAACAGCAAATGAGACTTCCTCCGGGGGAGTAGTGGCTGACATACGTACTGGCTAGGAATGATGGAACGTATTCTACTTTAAGACCTAAAGTGATTATGATGCTGATTTAGCATTCTCTGTCGCTTCATGACTCTGTAGATATAGTAAAACAGACCAAGCTCTCACTGGTTCACAATGCTAACACATGCGACTTTGAATAGAAAACAATGATTATGCTGTAGTTCCCTTGTACTTTTCATGAAAGAAGAGTCATTCGATAGTGATGGTGAAAGTTTTTTTGAAAGTATTTTATTAAACTGACTTCCTGATCATTTTATTATTCAATTCGCAGATTTGCAGGGATTTATTGAATTCAAGTTGGTATGCATCGCAAACTGAAATTAGTTGGTTAATCACTGAAAGTCTGGGAGCAATAGACAGCTTTTTCGTACTAGAATGGGACTCCTTAATAGGGTGAACCTATAACCTCTCCAAAGACGCCTTGACAATCAGTGACTTAGTTTGTTTCCTTGAGAACACCAGACACTAATAGTATGTATCCAGGTATAACTAAAAACCTGTTGTATACCAGTATCAGATTACTAAGTTGAAAATGTAACAACTTTTCATTGACATACTTGTTGAGTATATTTTTGATAACTTGGATGGAAATTGTGAATTGCATCATTTAACATATCCTTTGGATTGAATGTATCCCGTAGACTGCGTAATGAATCAGAAGACGGAAGAAATCCACCTATAAAAACAACATAAGGGAAAAAACATGTTCACAAGTGGACAGTTTGGATGTTAACCAACAATCTTCAAACATTTATCATGTTCACTTGACTATGAAATGATAATCTTGAAAAAGATCCTACTAGAAATGAATGGATATTAAAAAGGCTTTATGAACAAGCAACCAAAATGGATAGGAAGTAAAACGATATCCTCAGCAGTACTGACAATGTCAGTCCATATTATATTACCATTTAAAGGCATTAGGCAAAACTGAAGTTCATTAGGAGAACTTATTGAGCTACCAGGATTATGCTTTTCCCCACCACCAAACGATGTATCGAATTGCAAATATCATTTCGAATGTATCTACGGAAGGAAATAGATAGATCATACAGAGAGGTATCTATCTACTCGGATAGTTGAGCAGCTACCTGAATGGCTTAAGCATGTACAAAAGATCCTGAGAGGCTGACTAATGAAACACCTAGGGAACAATGGGGATGATATTGATATGTGTAAGTCTTTGACCACTATCAGTAGAAAACAGATTGAGAAGATCCTTGCAATTGCAGAAGGTTGTGTGATTCCAGCTGCTGAACCAAACCTCTGCGGGCAGAAGGAAATGCCAATCAGCTTGAATCTACTACAGTAGTGACAGCAGTGTCGTTTAATCAAATCGACTCTTCCCTACCTGCTCTCTGCCTTCAAGTATTATCACCGTGTTCTACTTCTAGTCTTCTCGTTCTTGATCTTTTTCGTTCAATTAACCTTATTCCTTCACCATTGTTACCCTTATTATTGATCTTAATACAAACCTAGTTTTCCTATGCTTAACCCTACACTATCTTAAGTGACTACTAACCGCTCTCTTTCGAATTATGTAATCTGTCTTCAATCTATTCAGTTCTCACTTCCAATGTTAACATTATTATTATTTTTAAGGTAGTTCTCATCACGGTCTGGAACTAATTGAAAACCTCGGGCCACCGTACAGTTTTTTCGTCCAAGGGTGCGACTCTTCAGAAGTACAGACTCACTACCTTGCCCACCGGGGGTCAAACTCAGGACCTTCACGTTTTATGGCGAACGTCTTAGCCATTCAGCAACTACGTCGGAACTTAGTGGTCTACAGTTCCTACTTCTGTTGATTCGCGATGTGGCACGACTATCATCCAATGCCTTCGGTTAGCATCTGCCTCCTTTCCGGCTGGTTGATCCCACTACCCATCACGACTTCTCACTAGAACTTGGGGATATCCATATCAAAGTATGTCAGTGGTGAGCTCTATACAATAATATAGTTCAAGGTTTATGAGGATTTAACCTTTAAGATAGTATTCATCACGCACTGATGGAACAAAAACAGTAGTCCAGTGTTCTCAGGTTTTCAGTGGTTCTCCAACTGGTGTCAGGCCGTTATGAATAGCACCTTGAAATAGGTAAAATCTCCATCAACCTCAAAATACTTTTTTCATGTTGGTATTCCTCATAGACTAACACCAGTTGGAGCAACATTGGAAACCTGAGAGCACTGCACAGCTGTTTCGTCGTACTACGGAACTGCTCAGCAGTGCGAAACCATGACCCTTCTCCAGAACCTTCAGGTTCTGTGTCCAGCAAGTTACCATTGAGCCACTGGGTCGGGATCCAATGATCCGTATTTCCCACTTCCATCATTTTACAACATAGAGCCAGCTCGTTGAGTAACTGTCCTCATATTCGACTTGGTTGACTTCATTGGCCACGACTTCTTATTGGAACTTCGGGAATCATCTCTCGAAGCTAGTCACCATGAGCGCTAGATTAATTTATATTGGGGTTTGTGGGGATTTAGTGATTTTCCAAAATGGTGTTCATCATGGCTTTGAGGACAAATACTTAACGATGACAAAGGATGATGGTCGCGCTATATCGTGAACTGACAGAAGTTGGAAATATGAACGACCGAATTCCAACCCAGTGGATCATTGGTAACGTGTTGACCAAGGAACCCGGAGGACCTGCGTCGGGACCGGGGTCATAGGTACGCACAGCTGAGGAGTCCCATAGTAGGATGAAACGGCTGTTCAGTGCTCTTAGGTTTCCAATGTTCCTCCAACTGATGTCAGTCTATGATGAATACCAACTTGAAAAACCACTAAATCCCCATAAACGTCCTAATCAAACTACTTTATTATTATTTTCTCCCTCGAAGTACACATGACTTTAGTCTGGATTACTATCAAAATCCTCATTTCATAACGTACTTTATACCCAACCTATTCAATCTGAACATCCACTCCAACCTGTGCACTATCATCGGATCTGTAAAAATTGTTCATTTCTATGTTGTTACACCTCAATCGGTGTCTCAGTTTACCATTTGTATGCATGTTCTACAGTATTGTTTAATGGCATATTTAGTCAAGTATAAAGTATGTATGCAGCTGATGAGTTCTACTCAAATTTATGAATTCATGAAATCCTGTTTTGTTTTTTTCACTCATGGTTTGTTTTAAATTTAGCATCTACATCATCTCAAATCCTGTTACATCTACCGAATTGATCACCACATATACAGAAGACAAAATACGTTAAATGTTGACAAAAAAAACTGAAAAGTTAACAAAACTCAACAATCATACATTGAAAAAATTGAAAAGTCTCAATTTATACTCCGTTCAGCAGATCTTCGCGTCTGCTTATTTACTTACTTTACAACAAAGACTTGTTAGCTGCGCATAATCAGAAATCTTTCAGTATTTCACTTCGACTATTAATTGGTTTTGGGGTAATATTCATCATGGAATGACATCAGTTGTGGAACCACTGAAAACCTAGGAGGACTGCATAGCTGTTTCGTTCTGGTATGGGACTCGTCAGCGGCACTTATTGAAGACCCGGTCTCTCCAGGTTTTCAGTGGTTCTCTAACGGATGCCAATCTGTGACGAATACTTCCTCGAAATTATAATCCCTATTCACCTTAAAATAAACTACTTTGTAATAGTTATTAATGACCTGCTTCCAAATGGATATCCCGAAGTTCTAATGAGAATCTATGACCTGTTCGGTCAACTGATCAGAAGGGAAGTGGATGCCAATTGAATGTCCTGGTGATGGACGTGTTAAATCGTGAACTGAGAGAAGTTGGAAACTGTGAGCCATTGGATCCCGACCCAGTGGCTGAATGTTCGCTGTGAAACCCGAAGATCCTTAGTTAGATCCCTAGTCGGTCGTGGGTGCGTACTGTTGACGAGTTTCATACCGGGGCGAAACAGTTGTTCAATGCTCCCAAGTCTTCAAAGGTTTCCTAACTGATATCAGTCAGTGATGAATACTACCTGAAAATCAAAATCCCATTCACTTCAAAATATATTAATTAGTTGTCTTAAAGTCATACTGTCATTCGTAATCGCTGCCACGTGGATTTCACTACAAAACCAAATCATATCGTTAGCATGGATTCGTTCATTAGAAAACGTTTTTTACTGAGTGATTTAAACACTCTGATACTACAAAACGCCTTATACGCCTGATAAACGCTTACTTCTAGACATCATCATCATTATCATCATAAATTTCAACACCAACATAAGGCTAGATATAACTCTGCATAACGATCCAAGTTACCAAACCTCATATCAGCACACAAAGCAACAAAGCACTTGTTTGAAACCACTAGTCCCTTTGATGAATTTGTATGATATTATAATGTAAATATTTACGCAATGCATTTCGAACAATCTGATTACACATTTACTTATCAAAGCATTTTATTTAAAAGGTAATTAAACTTTCACAGCTTCTGTCCAGTACATAGCAAACGAAATCTAGTAAAATGCTTATTCAAAAGGACTCAAGTTATCTGCACAACAGATACATTGGAAAAAGAAATCAAATTCTTAACAGAGACACTCATGAAAAATGCACATCCTCTGAAGAGTACATCAATAGTTAAAAAAACGTGTCAACAGGGCAAACTAATCAGTAACCTGACCCGAAGAAGGACGTTTATATCACGCAACTGATACCGGGAATCAAACAGCCTGATCTTAAGACGAAGGTTTATTTCAGTTATTAAAAGGACATACTATGCCGCCCAACTCAATACTGTTGAGAAAACGAAACATACTTCAAAATAAACCTCTTTACTACATAGATGATTACGTCATATTCTGTGTGTGGTGATACATACATTGAGAGCAGTAATTGAACTATGAAGTCAAGGTTGGTAGAGCATATCCTTAAATGGTTAGAAAAACAATTACATTCATATATTTGATAAATACAAGAGGTAGACCTCATTGTCTATGGGTAAACAGATTATACAAACAGGTCACAGGATTGATCCCAAGACAACTTGTAGACTATTATATAAGAACCGTTAACGCCGAATGTTTTGGGTTCACTAAAGCCTTAGCTATACAAAAATCCCAAACCCCCTTTGTCCTTACTTCAAACCTACCTTGGTAATCTTTGTCTCATTTTAATGACAAGGAAGGTGGGAAAATGTATTACTCCTCTATATTATACCTATATTTTTCAAATCTTGTATTCTCTTAATTTATTTACCTTATCCTACCCTATTATCATCCTTCATATAAAAAAGTGCCTTGACAAGTTAATGTGTGATCAGATTGTCCAAAATGCATTGCGCAAACACACCACATTCCTCAAATAACCTTCGTCTTTTTACTACATTATGCAAGCAAAACAGCAAAATGGAAGACAAACAAATGAAGAAGAACCGACCAAACGTAGTAGAAGAAAGATAGGAGGAATAAGCCAATACTGAGGTCCTCTCTGACGACCAAGATGAGGATAACGTGTGAATAATCTGCTCCACAGACTCTAAACATAAATCCAAATCTTACTGCGTTGAAGAAGCAAGAAGGCAGATACGTCCCAAGGTAACTTGGGACGGTAGTCGTTAAATATGGTACACCTTGCACTAAAATCATCATTTGTAAAATGTGCTTCTTTTCCTCTTCTACTTCTCTCTTGATTTGCTCTTCATACATTCTTACCAGCAACACCCACTATGATACGCCTGCGTTATCTGTTGCGTTACTCTTGGCAGAATCCTTACCCATTACTGGTAATTCCCTATGATTTCTGCCACCCTCTCAACATATACTACTTATATCCATTCTTGTCAGCAACACCCACTACAGTATCACTTCATTTGTACATATTTAACATTTTATTACTGCAGATCAAAGGGAATTACTTAAAACCTTTAATATTCAGAGAAACTGATGAAAAATAACTGCAATGTAATAACAAAGTAATTAATGCCAGATAAAAGCTATGAAATAATGTGTTCAGCTTTTAAACTGAGATAAAGAATGCTAACTTCTGCACCATTCTCTCAGGTTTTGGATTATATCACGTTAAGTGTACAATCAGTACTTTGAAAACTAAGAAATTTTATTTATTTTGCAGAGTTTTGTTTTCGCTTAAAGATGAAATATGGAAAAAATGTGAAGAAAGATAAAGGAAGCCAGACCAAGACATGGTGTACCAGCTTATAAAGTTTTTGAATGTTAGTCTGAGCTATTTAGGAAGAGGTGGAGCGCATAATATGGTCCTTTATGATATTAGAGACGGATGGCTAGGGACATGTGATGAAACGGGCCAAAATCAATAACAACGGCACCTACATATATTCATTTTTAATCATATTCGGAAGTATGAAAATTTCATTTCCCTGGATTTACTTATTTTCTTCTCCCCATCTGTTTGTTTGAATTTAATATTAGCTTATCTCTATTTATTCTTCATGTACTGTTGCGAAGTATCCAGAGGACTGCACATCTTGTCAGCGTCTTCATCCAAAATGACTATATCATCTGCGTACTCTGGAGTTACTAAAACATTTCTATAAATATTACATATTTCTTCAATCGTTTCTCACTTATTTCGAAGTTAAATATGATGATTTCTAAAATGACAATGAAAGCATAACAATTACCACAGAAGAAGCAATAACCCTAAAAGCATCCACCTAAGATAGAAATTTTCGCTGACATTAACAATTTTATAAATAAATGAGCTAGACAGTTCTTTTATAATATTGAGGTTATGCAATCCTGAACAGTTTCAAACCATAACAATCTGTAATGTTCCTGAGTATGTATAATATGCACGCTTAACTAACAGCTAACTTGTACATCAGATACAGCTGACTTCTAATCCCAGACGAAAATAGAGGGAAGAAGACTGGTCTAGATAAGAAAAGTTATTGCCTTCGGGTATTTTTTTTTCGAATAACTCAAATCACATGTGTATATATACAACATATATTTGACCTTGTCCAGAATTCAAAACATCAATATGATTAAAGGATGCCTGGGCCAATCAGAGAATTACCTTGAAACAAGGCAACAGCGTAGAAATGGCTCAAAAAATATGCAGACTAATAAACAATGTTTAATGGGAATCCGGCACTTCTCAGGACAATCGATAGCCCATTAACCAATCATTCCATCTGATATCACTTCATGATGAGCATATCTAATGTAAGCTACCGGGAGTATGGAGAGCAAATTGAGAAGAAGAAGAAGACGAGAAACATATTGTGCAAATAACTTTTAATGGAAAGTGTACAATATTTCATCACTAATGTACAAAACGTCATAATAAACATCCCTTCCTTCCTGCGTCTCATCCTTATAGTTTCTTACATTATAGGATAGTCTGAGATCAAACGTAGTTTAAACTCAACTGTAACCACAAGCATGAAGTGGAAAAGAAAATGAAAGAACCAACAACAAGCAACCATCTAACTTTCATCGGTTTATATGACAATTTTCCCCATTTCCTAAGATTTTTTTAGGTCATTTGATCACGGTTAGCTTACATAGATTGATTGAATGATAACCGTCATCGAAGATCTATCCTTGAGTCAAAACGATCACAGACAAATAAGTCAACTGTGTGTATGTCTTCAACTAAACGAAGATACATGAACCAGTCCTATGTACCATTGACTGGGTGTTTCCACAATCAACTGCTCATCAGGAACACATTCACCAACCACCACCACTAAGTTTTGATCACACTAATCACACTTAAAAATTATTATTGACTTACGTTTCTTTGTCTCATGAAACAGTTCACCATGACCACCTCCACCTAGACTATCATAACCGCTAACTGTTGGCCCAGTTCCAACACCATCAGAATACAATAATGATGGAAATGCGAAACGCAGAGCAATTGAAGCGATAAACATCTCTAAACAAATAAGAAAATTCTGTATTCCTGCTGCAACTGTACCCGCATTGGTATTTGGTAGAGCAGGCAAAACTTCAGCCTTTTCTAGAATAGCTAATATAACACCTTTAATTAGGCAAAGAATAGGAATAAGCAAAACATACAGAAAGGATATCAGATTCTTATCGAAAAGCGAGATATAAATAAGCAAAACTCATTTTGATACATTTCATCAAATGTTTACGTATGGAAACAAGAAAACCCCCATGAAATCTGTCCCTTTTTTAGGATAAATAATAAAAGATAATATCTTTTGCTTACAATTTTGAGATAAGCTAAGTTATTAATCTAACAGTTTTGTAATCCAACCTACATTTATTCCAAATGCAACACGATGCTGAGCTTCCTAACTTGTTGGTCACATTGGAAAAAATGATTTACAGAATTTGGTCAGAACTGAGGACTAGATGACATGGAATTGGTTACCCTCCAGTGACTGACCAATGTATCTAATCCACTGCTGAAGGAGGTCAATCGTGGGTTGAATAGCTCATTAGTAAAGTCGCTGACTACAACACTTGGTGATACGGGTTAGAATCCCACGGGGGACATCACTTCCCTCGAGGTAGTAGATATGCTTGTTGATGAGTGTTAGAAAGCACGAAACCTAGGTATAAGGCTTCCTACAGATTGCCTCCAACCAATTTACAGTTTTGTAGTCGTTAGACTATCCACATGTGAAATTTACGATAACAGCATAATAGTAATGATGTAACTCACACCCACACTTATTGTGTTTTAAGTGTGACATTGTTACCTGGCTGCCTAACCCTCAATATTTTTGGAGTAAGATTTGGATTAGGGTGACAGGAATTTCTTAAGTTCACTCAAACAACTTCATCAAATCAAGGATTTCGAAGTGACCTTATTCCATATGATAAAGATACAGGAAATCCACTAAAACCCACCATCATTAAAAACAAAAACACCCAGTTAATTATATCTTGTCTAAATCAACTTAATCCCTACTCAACAGGGCATGTTGAACTTAACTTTAACAACTACTAATATAGACGATTATTCAGTGCAATTCCACTGACAATATCATTATTATTGAGCCGAAAACGTTGACTAGGTGAAAATACCACTTAGCTCAGAGTTTGATTACTTTGGCTTAGGCAGCGGCTTGAGATATTGATTCACCTACTTAGAGATATGTACGATTGGGGCAGTATCAGATGGCTGGAAAATATGTGACACATGCCTAGTCATCGTCTGCCTAATCACTCAACGATAACCAAAATGTATTTAGGCTGTAGGATTGCTGGTGGTGGCCAGGCATCACTACATGAAACGTTTGACTGTTGGTTTGAGATCTTGTAGGACAATGCAGACTAGTCGGTTGGCGTTCATGTCACAACAGAAACCAGTGGTTGAAGTCTCTAAATGATATATTCCTCAGAAGTGGTAAGTGGCGCAGACATATCCGCGTTTTGTCTTCATACTAACCGCTACAGTGAGTTCAGAACTTTCTCATCCCTCCTTTCTCTCTTTTACTACTCCACACTTCGTTTGCCCAACCTACCTCTCTTTTATCTTCCTGCTTTGTTACTTGTTGTGCTGATATGATGTGTGGGAACTTGTACCGTTATGCAAAGTTATGCCTAGACCTATTTATATTCTGTAAGGTGACAGAGAATTGCACTAAAAAGTTGCTCAGTCAATATGCAAAATATATGCAATCGGTGGAGGGGTGGTGGTATTTGTTCAAGTGGAAGAGATAGAAAATGGGTCACTGAATAAGGAGGAACGAATTGGTGAGATAAGCGACAAGTGCTGTCAAAGAATTGTAAAACGGTGACAATTAAGCTGAAACGTGTACAGTAGGTCAATGATTAAGGAATGAATTGATATTAAAGAGTGAAATATGGTTCAAGTGTTGTCAATGAAGTGAAAATTTCGTGATAATGATGATAATAAAAGAGAAGTATACCAAAGTGAAGTGAAGTGATACTGACAAAATCAGCAAAATAAATTTTTAAGGCCAAAGTAGAGAAAGTGGTTTCACAAAACGTTTTTCAATGCAAAATTCCGATTTGTATTCATGTATAGCTAAATGCTTCAGCTATGCATAAGTGGTGGAAACGTAAACTTTTGGAGTAGTTCAATTTGACTTTGTAAATTATTTTAAAGGATGGATCTTGAGGTACTGAATGACGTAATTCAACAAGGTGTTCACATATGGATGAAGTCGTTTTCCTTTGCTCGTCTTTGGTAGGCCAAGCCGGGTAATGTTTAGCAACACGTTTTCGGAGGGCCCGCTTACAACATCCAATATAGTTAGCTCCATAGGAGCATGTGAACTTGTAGATACACACAAATGTAAACATAACTGGAAGCCTATCCTTCACGCATTGACGAATCAGACGGCGGCTGCAGAATATCAGTCTCAGTCTAGCACCATAGAAGCTACTATTGATACATCTTGAGAGACGATTTTTCAGCAGTTCGGCTGTAGTGTCTCCTTTGAATTCTAGATTCATGGTTAAGATTTTCTTAGGGACTGTAATGGGATGGAGTGGTTAGTTTTTTCAGATTTCTATCAATAAATCTTTTAGGGTGCCCGTTATTATCTCACCACTTGTTATCAATTCGTCCCTCCTTATTCAGTGACCCATTTTCTGTCTCTTCCACTTGAACAAATATCACCGCCTATTGTATATTTTGCATATTGACTGAGCAACCTTTTAGTGCAATTCTCTGTCACTTTACCGAGTATAAAATAATGAAGTCATTGAAAAGAAATATTTCTTTGCTGATACACAGGCTGCAAAAAAGAATCCGGTATTGGGTATATGAATTAAACTCAACTCTCACCTGAACTACGTGAGTTGACCAGGGCATAAAATTGCACATATCGAACACCCTTAAGCTTGGATATGCAATATTGGAAGAAGTAGTATCAAGTATGAAGAAAGTTTGACTATGACAAAGTGTAGTAATTCATTATTTATGGTTATTGTTATAAATTATCTATCAAGGTATATACTAACTAGTTGCATTCAACAAAGTATAGGGAATTCATAGTTAAAGGATCTCAGTGACATAACTAAGTACCGGTAGTGATGGCTAAGACGCATTCCTATTGAAATAACTTTGAAATTTCTGAAGAACTTCATTCCTGTTAATTTGTTTGTATGTTGAGTATTCTCATTTCCTTGCCTTCATCATGCTTGTATTGGCTTTTTTCCCCTGAAATCTTACAACTTGTGGTTGCTTAAACCTATATTCTGTTGTGTCACATTCACTGTTTCCAACGAAAATGGCCAATGACTTTTGGTCTCATGAATCATAACTTTGTTATTTAGTAATAGTATTAATCAATTTCTTCAATCGTTTCCAAGTTGTTTACACATACTTTGAATGACGGAAACCAATAGATTGGTACTGTGTGCTTAATCTTGTGGGTTAATCTTTTCACCATGGATTACTGATGCAATGACACAGCTTTAAGGATAGAATTAAAGTATAGTAGCAGAGTGCATACGAGTAGAAAAACATGGTGAAAAGTTGACGTGAGTAGTTTCTAACTACTCATTTCATTTGATAGTAGTAATAGTACATTCCGCTAGTTATGAAAATTTTTGTGTCAGACATTGCAATCTTGTGATTTTGGTGACGTGGTGGTTTCCAACCGAAAGCCTATTGACTGGCACCACAGTTGACAGTTGGGAAAAACGTTGACGTTCATCAAGTATAATGAAAAATTTCACACAATCACATAATCAGGTCATTTACAAAGCGTAGATTTGAAGCGATAAGATGAAAATATATACAAAGAATAAAGACTGGAAACTGTAGAACTCAACAGATTTTCGGTAGTGAGATGAAAATATGGCACAATATAATTCAACACTTGAAAAAAAATTAAGTTATACAGTATATAAAAATAGACAAACCTTGCCAAAAACACAAGAATACAACAGATTTAACAACAGCGAATTTGATAGCTGGATCAAATGGTTGTAGGATACTTCGAGTTGCCAGATAGAATAAGACTAAAGCATAAAGGGCTACAAATGCCGATGCATTATACACTACTGTCACATATAAGTAACCATTTGTAGCGCTAAAAATAGAGAGAAACAAAAAGTGAAAAGAAATAGTCAATAGAGAAAAATGATTAGTGACATTTCTTCTTTTTGCTCAGAATGGGTTATTCATTCAATTGATTATGATGTTAACTATTTGTCATGATGACTATTTTATATCGTCTGAGTTGAGCACAGTTAAGGATGGATTAGAAAACAAAGCGTATTGCATTAATTTTTGAAGTCTTTAATGAAGGCCTATTTGTTAACTACTTCAGTATAGAGATGGTGATATTGTTAAGACTGTTCCTTTGAAACACACATCTATTTTTCAGTTTTAAAGAAAACAAATAACTACTTAACAATCACGCAACTAACGCTTGATGTGGGGGGAATCCACTTGATTTCAGTTTGTTTTATAGTGAATCATTCAAAATCTGAAAGTGATTTCATCAACCGATGTAGTTCATAGAACGATAATCAGATAACTCTGCTTTTTGATTTTTAGATATGCTCTTCAACATAAAGATTAGATTTTTCAAGGTTCAGGCATATCGTAAATGCTAAGTGAAGATTAAAAGTAGCCACCATCATGATGTTCATGTCACGTGAACAGACAGGAAGTGGCATCACACTCACATCTTTACTTTCATCTCTTCTTCTCTTCGCCAATTTCTACCTTCAATACTATAAGTCTAAAAATCAAAACAATCTTCACCTCGTCAGCATAGACTAGCAGCTGGCAGTGAAATCTAGGAAGCATATTTCATCCTATTCGGGACTCGTCATCTGGATGTACAACGGGTATCAGTATAGCAACGGAAAATTACAAATTACAATAAATAACAACTGATACACGTTGTATAAGAGGTGGCTATCGTGTCCCAGTGGCCTAGTGGATAAAACTTTGGGAATTTAAGAAGTGGGAACTGGGTTCAGATCTCAGACCGAATACTACTCACTGGGGTGCACATACACCCAGCTGACAAGTCTCAAACCCAATGAAACGCATATTCTGGATTCCACTGCTAGCCGCCGAGTAGGCTACAGAATATTTAGTCACCTATAATTGCATTTTCAACTGCATGATGTTACATACAACTTTCAAATCTTACTCCGAACTGGATGACAAGTCTCACTAGCCAAAGATGTAGCATCTTATGACATAGGTGCATAGTGTATTTTTAAGTTCAGTATATATTGCCCAAATACGATTAATTACTACGGTTTGCCTTGTTATAATAGTAAAAATGACTTGGAAACTCACTAATCATATGCTTTAAATGAGCAAATACTAATTTCCGTGAGATGTAGATGAAAAATAAGAGAGTAAATTTGTCGATCAACTTCTGGTTAAAAGTCATTTTTCGGTTGTTTGACCTACATTATTGAGTGACTCTATACGCTGAAATAACCAATCAGGCTTCAGTATTTAGGCTAAGAAGGTAGTTTTTCATAAAACTTAATTGGTTGCTGTTTTGATACTTATTATTTCCTGTTGTTATGCACGGCCGAATTGCTCGACCTCTGCCAGCGGATGGACTTCCATGCGCAGTCCTCCATCCTGGTAGTCACTAAGTTAAGTAAAACGTGATTGGTTATCTTAGCAGCTTTAGGGTAGCATTTAAAGTAGCTCTTAGTGATAGCACCCTCTATCTACCGGCTGGCCGAATCGGATATGAATACTTCAATTAAGCAACTAAAGAAAGCTTGTGTATTAGGTTGTGAACTGAGTGTGACATGTGTGCGACTTTCTTCAAGTGTAATAATACTAACCAGGAATTTTAATTTGCGAATATGGTGATTAGGTGAACCAAAAAAATGATCTTAATTACAACTAGGAAGGTTTTCTGGAATTCTTTTCTGATAACTGTTAGACTTAGGTCACCACAAACTTGAAGCATACGAGATGGAGTATTACCTAGCAGCCTCCGAAATAAAGTAAGCGATTTGCAAACCAATCGCATCACTATCGGTTAAACTCAATACTATGAAACCTTCCACGTATCACAGAAAACTTACTCGGGTCATAGTCATACATTAGTGCAGGCATATGTACTTCCATTACAAGGTGACTGTAAAGAAGACATGTTGAAAAAGTCTCTGTGGATTTACTGAAAACATATTTCTGCATTTCACATGCAGATGATGCTTCAGGACTAACTTTGAGTGAGTTTCCGGTTTCTGGGACTACGAGTGAACTTGTTGAATGCATTAATCACCTCAGCTATTTAAGAACTGAGTGTACTGCTTAAGAATCCACTCTGTTCTACCGTATGTCTGTGACAATTGGTCAGTGAGAGTGGTAGGCATGGAAAAACTACTGGTTTTTGTCCATTATCCATGTGTGATGGGGTCGTAGATTGAGGATTTTTGGAGTTAAGCATAGAGGGAGTTAAGTCAGTCAACAAGGTTACACACCAACCTGGAGTGGGGTGAGTGGGACATGTATTATGCGTAACAAAATGAAGTCTAAATCGACTGGTAATGTCAACTAGTGAGGATTAAGTTGAAACAAATCCCAGGATGGTCAGATGGGAAACTGGTACCATTGCACAAAACTCCATACTGTAGGTTTATATGGTGAGGTCATTAGGATTCTAGGGATCAGTAAAATGGCTTAAAATTGACCACAATGCTGTAAATATAATCGCTCTTTATTTACCTGTTCTCTTTCCTGTCCTACTCACTTTGCTGTTCCCGAGTGGTAACTTGAACTTACACACTTCTATACAACTTTTGACATTGATATGTCTGTAGTTCGATCTTGATTAAAGGTATTTTGGATGTTGAAATAGATCGGTAAATAAATGATAATGACGGCGATCTTCATCTAAGCCTAAACTACAAATACATACAGTCAACTCTTATAATATGGAAACATATAATTACTAATGTATAGCTAAGCATCAGTGATTAGACTCTGAATAACTTTTGCACCAAAGGCGATTTTAACTAGCTTTTACATCTATTTAGAGTGAAAGCAACCGACAAAACAAAATGATTCTCTCTATATAATGAAGATGAAAATTGTACGCAATAGAAGTCAACGAGGTAGGGAAAAATCTTAGTCAAGTAGATTCATTCAGCGGCTGTCAAAAATCATTAAGAAAGGAATTGACGAGAAATACTATTCAGTATATCGCCGATAACTGATATAAGCAACAAACTATTGGTAAAAGCTGTTGTGATAATGACCAGGAAGAGTAAAAAGAAAGTAACACTGACAATAGCCTTCCAAATCACAGACAAATTATAGAAGGTGACAATACTCCAATTAGTCAGAAGTTACTTTTCATCCACTTTGCATATAAATGCATAATTATTTTTAATAAACGGCATACTTTGTAATTTAATGATGTTTACAACTATAACCACATTTTATTTGGAAAGATAGCTATTTCTTGTACTGGAACGCATGTCATATAAAAACAAGCTGGACTATGTTAGCCCCAGACCTATGTTTCACACTTGTTGGCACCCGTCAGCAAGGCGTATCAGCAGGCTTGACAGAATTGATGTGCTGCTTAGGATTCGAACCCGCGTCACTCGGTGTTGTAGTCAGTGGCATTAACACCGAGTTATTCGGATCACGCGTAATCCTCTGTAGGACTGCATATTGTAGATACGATTTGCTGACGAATAATAAAAACCACGAAACCTACCAATTTCTTCCAATCAACTAACATGTATCCAAGTTTATCACAATGTTGATCCTTCTAGGTTGGTGGCCACATTGTAAATATGATCGATAGAATCGATCAGCCCTCACGGTTAGACAACATGAAATTGGTTTCTTTCTGGTGAACAATCAATGCAAGCCAAACTATCCTATCACTGACTATATATATAGGGCAGCTGCTTCAGCCTTATGGAGTGCAATGAACCTTTATCGACCTTATTCAACAGCTACATGACGACGATACATGTCAAGTGATTCACAACACAATGGAAAGTCCAGTGATGCCTTCGAAGTGAAGACGAAGGAGTAAGACAAGTTTGCCACCTACTATCACCTATCATCTTCCTGATTGTGATCGACTGGACTGGACTGGATCATCCAACAGGCTGTGAGGAGTGAAAACAGGGGCATACGTTGGACCAATGAAAAGACCCCAGAAAAAGATTTGCATTTCGCCAACGATGATGATTTATGTCTAATGTCTTGTAGCACAAACTCGATGATCTAGAGGCGAAAACTAACAAGTTGACAGGAGAGGCAGGGCAGGGCAGCGAAGGAAGACGGGCTTTCCTTCAGGTTGATATAGAAAAGACAGAGGTGATTAAGATACTCAACCAACAGCAGCAACAACAAGCACCAATCACCGTCAACAGGAGAAATCTAAAGGAAGTTGTCTCATTCACCTACCTACCTAGACAGCATCGTTTCGACTGCAGGCAGCACAGGTGAGGATGTCAAAGCCAGCATCAGAAAGACAGCAAGATATGCCTTCCTGAATTAAACTGAAATCAGTGTGGAGATATACTGCACTCAGTATGCAGAACAAGATCCAGATTTTCAACACTAATGTCAGGTCAGTGCTTCTATATACTTCAGAAACTTGGTGCATCACGAAAAGCATTTCCAACAAACCACAGACATACATCATCAACATCTGCCACCCACGCTCACTCCCTAATGAAGATCAGATCAGATGGTCAGAATAATAAGAATTATCAAGGAGGAACTCTGGCCTGGCAAGCAACCAATCAAGAACCTATCATCCAACAAATTTGCAGAGGAAAGTGGAGATGGATTGGACATACACTGAGAAGACTGTCTGGGAACATCACGCGCCAGGCCGCTGAGTGGACCCCAAATGGGAAAGGACGAGTTGTATGTCCGAGGGTGACATGGAGGAGATGGTGCGAAGAAGAAATGAAGCCTGTGGGCAGTCGTGGAGCCATATGGAAACGACTGAAGAGAAGAGTGAAGTGGCGAAGTGCTACTGAAGCCCTATGTCCCACTAGGAACCCAAAGGACAAATAATAAAAAGATTATATATATAATAATATATATATTATATATATATATATATATATATATATATATATAGGTTTTAAAATATTAGTGACTGGTGTTAAGAACAATAATATATTTGTATATTATGTTGTGGATAAAGTCATTCAGAAACTCACCTAAAAATTCCATGTTTGTAAACTCCAATCGCTTGTAAAATGATAGTTGCAATCGACGTCAATGGTTTAATAACACAAAATTGTAAAGTTGCCTAAAAACAAGACAGAACAATACAAAAATACTTTTGTTTCGAAAAAGAATTATCAAAAAGAAGAGAGTCAGTACAACTGAGGTCCTTCAGAAGATGTCGAATAACTAGTGGACACATGTTAACAAAAAAAGTTTAGTAAACAGTCATTCTTTTCAGCGATATCATTCTCAATCTGTACAACCATATATAAACATTCTATTCATATAGTAACAGAAAAGGAATGTTTCATGAAATTTTTTCCAAACTAAGTTTAGATTCAACTATAAATCAGGAGATAGAAAAAAAGAATTAGTTTAGTGGTCACCTTTCAAACCCCGGGGCTTAAATGTTATTGACACATTCCGGTTCCAAATCGAAAAATTACTAGTGATAGATAGACCTCCCAGAACAAATATCAGTTACTTTTCAACAGTTTCATAATACAGTCACCAAAAAATCAGAAAAGAAGATTGGCCATACGCGAGTATTTATAGAATTTCCAGTAGTCAGGGAGGCAAATTAACATAGAACATGATACAGAATTGGATTAAAGTTTCCAAGCTTCATAGCAGTATATGATGTTAACCGATGTAGGGTTAGATTGGAAGAAGGTTAAAGGTGGTGATATCAAGATATAGCGCTAGTCCATAAGCTTTTTGACTGCAAGTCTAAGCCGTATGAGAAGGTGAACTGGCTGACTAAGGTCCACGAGACGACAAGAATTAACAGCTCCAGATTCTTGGTGATATTAATCGAAATTGATCACAGTGACAAATGTATACCTTATAAATCTTGAAAATTTTGTTAACCCTAATATGTTTATTGACTCTAATCTGATAGATGTTTGTCTACATTAATATTAGTTTTTATATCCACTTCTTTGTTTTATGCTACTGTGAAGTATGGTAACAAAGACCGATGCACTTTCGAGCCAAGCTCTACTTTCATTTGTGTAGTGGCATGCAAAGAAAGAATATAATGAAACGAAAGTAGCAGAAACGTGAACTACAGGAAAGACAACAAATAGATTAAGTTCAATGAAGGTATTCAAGAGTTAGAAGACCACAAAGAGTGTATACATCTATGCCATTATGATCAACTTTAAGTCATATCATCATGGATCTCCAACCGTTGATTCTTATCATCTCCAAGACCTTCATATGGCAGTCTACACCAATTCCAGACAACTCAAACTGACAGTCAACGATTTCATGAACTGGTGCTATGTCTTGATATGACCATCGACTTAATCCAACTGCGGCTGATATTAAACGTGGAGGCTACATCTGGCAGTGCTTATTTACAACTTCATAAACTGACTTACCTTCCTTCCTATTACTCTACACTTAAACTGAACATTGCTCATACATTCACTCCACCACCCTATCGAATTGAGTTTCAGAAGGGTCAAACTAAATCTATGTATGTTTGACTGACTGATTGGCAAATCAGTGTAGAACCTTGCACACAGGTGCATCGACTCAACTTGCCATACTTCAAAGAAGTACACAAAGAACAGGTAGATAGAAAACGAGTGATATCAAAGTAGACAAACTTGTGTGAAAGAATGGGCCATCTGAGGATAAAGGTTAGTGCAAATATTCAAGCTTTGGATGTCAAACAGTGAATACATCTTGGTTACTGTGACCAGTTTTCAGCCATATCACCAAAAGCTCTCAACTCGTAATTCCTTTCATCTTCGGGGAGGTCGACTATGCAGTCTACATCTCCCCCATACGGGGTGGGACCAACAGTCAGGGAGTTCACTGACTGGTGCCAGGCCATGGTCTGGCCACCTTGAACTCTCTTCCAACTTTATCCAACTTCCCCCAGGATGGTATGTTGAGGTAGGCAGTAATTTGGCATGTTCAGTACATGTCCAATCCATCTAAGTCGACTAAGGTTCATGATCTAGTCAATTGACTTGCCTATTAAGTTCAGTACTCTTCTCCTAACCTCAAAATAACTCACACGGTGATTTCACCATACACGAGCAATGCTACGAAGACATCTGAGATCAAAACCCTGCAACCGCTTCATGTCGTCTACTTTTTTAACGTCCATATCTCACAGCCGTACAACAGGACCCAACGGACTGCAGCACAGTATATTGGTCCTTTGATAGATGGTCGGACATGTCGCCGATGCCACAGGTGACGTAAGTTGGCAAATGCCGAATAGGTCTTCTGTATCCAAGCTGAAGTTTTGTAAGCAACCAGCGCATTTGGGCTGATGCAACTTCCCAAGTAAGTGAGATGTTCAACACACTCTACCATTTTACTCCCTATCATTAAGCTGGGAGTTGTTGCATACGAGTTCTGCAGCATCATCTTGCATTTGACAGGTGCCAGCAAAACGCATTCCAGCCAAACATACTCCGATTTGTGCTCAACACCTTCAGAAAATCCTGCATTTCGTCGGCGTCTTCACCTATCATAACATCGTCTGCATACTCCAAGTCAACCAGGTGATCTCCACGGAGGAGGTGAATCTCTGTGAAGTCAGACATACATAGAGTTATTTCCATTAGTATGTCTATGATGAAGTTAAATAAGAACGGCGACAGTGGTTCAAGAACGTAAATAGTGTTGATTCATATAAATTTAGGCATTAATAAATCTAAATAGACTTTACGGGGAATCAATGTGTTCCCCAATAACAAAAAGATTAATACAGCGTGAATTTGCTTTAAGCTGCAAACGTGCCTAATTGATAAATACCACTCAGCACCAAAACTCAGGTCGGAAATTTCCTATCAACGGCAAATTACAATCCAAAATCCCTTCATGCGATTAGCATATAATTGTTTAAATGCTGAAAATATTATGTGTATGGAAGGGTGGGCGGCAGAATAAGCCTCATTATGCTGTTATTTGATTGAGATTTTAAAACTTATCCATCAAAATCAGATTCATTAGCTAAAACGATAAATTATCCATCTAGAAGCCTTTGGATATTATGAATTCACTTTAGAATGAAGTCATCGATGAATGTGGCAGGCGAACCTTAGAATTGAAAAACACAACTATCTAACACTCTTATTTTCGATAACTTTCCAAGTGGTGCCAGCTTGTTATTTTTAATTACCCTAAAGTACCACAGCTTTTATCTAATCTCACCAAAAATATTTTGAAGTCAACAAACCAGTTATTATCATTTTGACTATCTGAGGCAGCCGTAGTTTGGCAGACTAGTATTTATACTTAGTGATGACTGAAGGTGAAACAAAAATTTGGACCGCGGCTGGATTCAAACCAGCGACTACCGGGTTTCCGGCCCGATGCTCTACCAACTGAACTACTAGATCCGACTGGTGAACACATTTTTATTTCACCATGGCTATCTCAATAGTCTAAACGATAATCAATACGATCCTCCTTCTCTCTAATTCAGTTAGGTTTGGATTGGGATGAGAAGTCCTGATTAGGCAGCCAGTGTGAATACGATCAAGCGGTAGTAACGCGTCACTGAACAGTCGTCCAATGATTGCTAGTCCTCGGCAATTCTCTTCTTGATGGTAACCTGTTATCAACACTACCTTGAAACTAAAATAGAATGATCAATTTGCGAATGATTTACTGATTGTATGGTTTACATTGACATTACTCACAGTTGAGTAGTTTTCCTCATCTGGTCAATTGTGGTGCCAGTCAACAGGGTTTCCATTGGAAACCGTGGCGCTATCTAAATCACAAGGTTTGATCTCTGACACAAAAAGTGTCGTGAACCAGGGAATGTACTACTACTGAACAACTTGAATAGCTACAAACTACTCAGGCCCCTTAACTATCATTGATATTTTAGAATGTAAGACTGGGTAGTGTCTCAAAGCGAAAGCAATAGGAACTCTTCTAACTTCCCCAAGCTTTTGGGTACTACACAACTAATTTAATATTCTTGGATTCAACCAATAAAACTGACTTTTCAGCATAGTGTATTACTTTAACCTCCTGTAGCGTTGACCCTTTCAAGAAGATTGTAGTTAAATTATGTAGGCTATGGAGAACGTCTTTCAAAAAAAGTACATGCTGTTAGTCTGCAAAACCCAACAAAATGTATTCACCATAGACTGACATCACTTAGAGAACCATTGAAAACCTTGGATCACTGGACAGTTGCTTCATCCTAGTATGGGACTCTTCAAGAAGACGTACCCATGATTCCATCTTGCCACGGATCGAACCCAGCATCTTCATGTTTTGTGGTGATCATGTTATCATTGAGCCATTCGGTCGGGATCCAATGTTCCACATTTTCCTACTTAATCGATTCGCGATATACTGCGACCTTTATCCAATGCCACTGTTGAGTGCTTGTCCTCACTTTCGATTTTCTTCGACCCACCGATCACAACTTCTCATTAGAACTTCAGGAAATCTAATCTAGGAGCAAGTTAATGAAGAGCATTGGACAGCAGTTAAATGAAGATCACACTATATCGCGAATTGACAGAAGTAGGAAACTATGGACCATTAGATTTCAACCCAGTGGCTCAGTGGTGACGTGCTGGCCATCGAACCTGAAGGTCTAAGGACCGATCCCTGCCTAGGTCATGGGCGCCCACTGCTAAGAAGTACCACACTAGAATGAAACGGCCGTCCAATGCTCCCAGAGTCCCAATGTTTCTGTAACTGATTTCAATTCATGATGAATACCAACCTGAAATCAATAAATGAGTCCCTATAAGCCTCTAAATTAGATGTACATTTATTTATTAAACTGTTTACAAGTTATAGTGATTATAATTTCATAATCCACCTTTGGTACATCATATTAGAGTGGAATTTTTACGAAATACAGCAAACTGCTTTATAAGTTGAATAGTTAGAAAAGAGGAAACCTGAATGCTATCAAGATTCTTGAAATCAGTTAGAAAGAAATATTCAAGTAGATTTCTGTTTTAACTCACATGATTGACAAGGATTCATTACTGAAAGGATCATTAATCAAAATCAATACTGTCGTTGCTTTAGAAGGGAATATCGTCACAAGGTAAAGCGTTTACTACCATTTAAAACTGCAATGTGTTCATCAAGAATGAAGAGTATTTTTAAGTGACAGAGTTAATTACTCGACATTACTTATATGATTATCATCATCATTATCCCATAGGTATTGTATACTTCACCTGTGAAAAACTATTTATATTCGCTTCAATTTCTACCCATTTCATCCAACTAATGACTGAAGAATACATGCCAAACAAATCAACTCAATCAATTGCCTCGAAGTTGATTCAGACACCGTATACAACACCCCGAATTTCCATTTTTTAAGGTCTATTTCTTTAATATTACATTTTAACTTTCAGAATACAGTAAAAGTTGACAAGTTTTAAGAAAAAAAAGGGTCAGTAACAACACCTCTAACTGAAGCATTGGGTGATATGGGTTCGGACCCTTAGGGTTGCAGATACGCTGTGCTGGTGAGTGCCAAAGAGCATGAAACTTAGATTGAGAGCTTTTCCAGACAGCTTTCAACCATCTAAGAAACATTTGTTGTCGATCAAGGCAGATGTCCGTCTTCCTTAGTAGTCGATAAAATATAATTGAGGTATACGAATAAAAAAGACTGCAAAGTCTACAGTGACTAGGCACCAACTAGTGCAATACAAGTATGTGGAACTTTCATAAAAGATTTTCTATGGGACACCATGAAGTGAAACACAGGGTGTCATCAAGTATCACTCACGTCTTGTAAATGAAAACACCGAATAGACAATCCATTAAACTCGCTGTATTCTGCTACAGCCAAATAAAACTCATGTGTTACAGACACTTCATGTCTCTGAGCTAAGTCTGCACTAATACATTTTTGAAGAAGGCAGTTCAAACAGGCAGTGCTTAGATCACACTGGTTTAATGAGGACAGACAAAATCAACATGCAACTCTTCACACAAGTGCATCAGTTCAAGTTACCACACTTCTTAGTAGTGGACAAAGAACAAGTGTACAGAAAAGGAGTGATATCAAAGTATAAAAAGTTGTAAGAAAAAATGGATGATTTGAAGATCAATATATTAGCGCGAATATTCAAGCTTTAGATGTCAAGGAGTTAATAGATCTGCGTCAATGCTCCTGATTTCTAACCATTTCACCAAGAGTTCTCAACCAATGATTCCTATCTTCTCACTGGTCCCAACCAAGTAGTCTATATCTCCCAACACGGCTGAGATAAACAGTCAATTTCATCGATTGCTGCCAGGTTTTGGTTTTACCACCCTGAACTCTCTTCCAATCTAATCTAACTTCCCCCAGTATGGCACGTCAAGGTAGGCTTTAGCTCAGGATGCGCAATACAAGTTCAAGCTATCTCAATCGACTAAGATTCGCATCCTCATTAATCGACTTGCGTGTCTCACGTAGTACACTTTTCCTGACCTCAATATTACTGAGGAAAAATTGTAGTTGATTGTTGTGGGCTATGTTTAAGTACTCACTTTATTCAGTAGTATACTTTGTAAACCTAATTTCTTGCCTCTTTCTCCATCTATACGATATGACGCATACGGAAAAGGACACAAAAAGCACTTAGTTGACAGTAGAAAAGAAATTCATACCTGTTTACAAAACCGTAGAAATTCGATTGTATACGTTGACCATAGAAACAACATGTGCAAAACGCCCATGAACGTCTATCAATGAATATAAATGAAGGAAATAAGAAAAATTATCAAAGTTAACAGAAATCAAAAAACATTTACAGTTAAGGAAAAGAAACAGTTCCTCATCAATGGCTCTAAACTAATCATATAGCCGTTTCAAAACATAAAATTACATACCAATACAGTGATGATAGTTATTTAATAAAAGGTTATCAATCTCAAAGTATCAGGAGGGTGATAATTGATCAAGTCATTAAGATAATAAATTTAATAGCACCCATCCACCGATAACCTTCATCATTGACGACGACAGCACAGCCTTCATAGATGTCCGATTGACAAGGAAGATGGATAAAACTGTAAAAAGAAGTATATATCGGAAATCAATACCAACAAGCCAATACAACCATTTCTTGAGTTTCGTCCCCCTGAAATATAAACAAAATTTACACAAATCTTTGCTCCTTCACATGATACTTTCGATGAAGAACTTCAAATTATCCATGATCTACTCAGTAGTAATGCATATCCAGAGAAGTTTCCAGCTAAAGAAATATGCATACATCCAATGTGAAAACAAGAGTAACAACAGTTTCCAAGAAATCGTTGTTCCTAAGACTACAATTTCGAGGTGACATCATCAGTCAAATTGTAACACAATGCCTAAGAAGGTCATTTAATGCAACAAAATTATGTAGTGTATTCTATAGTCGGGCGACGACGACCACACGAATCAAAGACAGACTATATGACTTCACCTCTTCTATGCACACTTGTCAATTCAATTGCTCCTGTCCAGCTAGTTACAGTGGACGTACAGTTAGGCGAGTCCATCGTCGAATTGTCGAACATCATTCTTCATGCTTAAGTAAAAGGTAAACCAGATTGATACGAAGCTCAATACTCTCTCATCTGATTGACACTGGTCACCGAGTTAACATTCAAAACGCCTTTCAAAATATCTATCATATTCCTTCCAATCTCATCCATGCTCTACAAGTTCGTCTTTTACTTACAGCAGAAGCCATAAGAATCCACCTAAACAAGTCGAGTCTGTGTGTTCACAACTAATTCGTACAGCCTCTTTCTTTGCCATGGTCATCTGTGCAGCTTATCTATTAAACCAAGACACCAACTTCCATTCATCCCAAAAATGATTATGACCATTGTAATAATTATTCTGATTTAAAACAAGCAACGAACGTGAAAAACAGTAGGATCCAATGAATCTATACGTTTTTGTAGTACTAGTCAACTGGATACTGTACATACTTGATTATATATACTGTTAAGCAATACAAAACAGCATTCATAGACTGAGACAGATTTAGATGTAACAACATAGAAATGAACAGTAATGATAGGCAGTGGCTATTAGTGAAATCCAGGATGCGCATTTCGTCCTATTTGGGACTCCTCAGCTGGATGTACCTGCCTCCCAGTGAGTGATGTTGTCCCCACCGGGACTCGGACTCGGGAGCGATCGCTTCAAACTCCAGAGCGTTATCCACAAGCAATAACACTAAACCTATACCCTTGGCACAAGAAGTGGCTATCGTGGCTCGGTGGTGTAGTGGGTAACGCTCTCGCGTTTGAAGCGATTGCCTCCGAGTCCGAGTCCCGGTGGGAACAACATCACTCACTGGGAGGCAGGTACATCCAGCCGACGAGTCCCAAATAGGACGAAACGCGTGTCCTAGATTCCACTGCTAGCCACTGCCCATCATTACTATACATATTTAAAAGACAGGCAATATCGAGGCGTCCGCACAGGAGCTCATATGCCAACAGAATGATCAAGTCGGTCCAATCAACGACGGTGTAATACAAGCAATAACACTATAGCAATAAACAGTTTTCACAGGTCAACTGGTGATGTAAAGGGTAGAAATGGATGTTCAAAATTGAATGGGTTAGGGATAAATTACATGATTAACTATGAGTTTAACCTCGCCTGGTTAACTAGTTTACTAGTTACTAGCCGGTCCTAAGCCCGGGTAAAGAGGGAAGGTTGGGCATAGGGCTAGCAACCCTACCCCGTAAAACAAATCTAACCGCTAAAGAAACTTCAAAGCACAAACAAAATATAAAAAATGAAAACAAACTTATTCCCCGCTGGAATCGGAGAGGCGAAATGACGCCAGTTGGTGAAAGCCTTCGGGAAGCCAATTGGCCGATGTGTCTTCTCTCGATGAAAGCGAAAGTAAACGTGGGGACATGGAATGTCCGCACGATGTTTGAACCCAGTAAGGCAGCCCAGATTGCAAAGGAGATGAGAAGGTATAACATCGAAGTGCTTGGGATTTGCGAAAGCAGATGGAATGGGAGTGGACTCTCCAAACTGTCAACTGGAGAATCAATAATCTACTCCGGTCACCCAGACGCCAACCACGAGCACACTGAGGGAGTGGCTATCATGATGTCCTCAAGAGCATCGAAGGCTCTCATGCAGTGGGAACCAATCTCCTCCAGGATCATGACAGCAAGATTCAACTCAAAAGGAAGAAAGGTCACAATCATACAATGTTATGCACCTACAAATAATGCAGAGCAAGAGAAAAAGGAGGATTTCTACAGACAACTTCAATCAACACTGGACAAGACGTCAGTTGGCGATATCAAAATTCTAATGGGCGACATGAATGCCAAACTGGGAGGGGACAACACGGGAAGAGAACTAACCATGGGTCGAGAGGCGCTAGGTGAAATGAATGAGAATGGAGAATTGTTTGCAGAATTCTGTGCATTCAACGATTTGGTGATTGGAGGCAGTGTGTTCAGGCACAAGGATATCCACAAAGCGACATGGACTTCACCAGATGGACACACTAAAAATCAAATCGACTTTATCTCAATCTCAAGAAAATGGAGACGCAGTCTACTTAACACAAGGTCAAGAAGAGGAGCAGATGTAGGTTCAGACCACTATCTAGTGCAAGGAACCTTCCAAATCAAGTTAAAAGCCTTCAAGGAAGCTGGTGATAGACCTCAATTCAAGTACAACACTCGGAAACTGAAGGATGAAACTACAAAGGAGATCTTCAAAGCAGCCATCAAGACAAAATGGGAGACATCGAGGGACATCCCTGAAGAAACCTGTGTGGAAGAACACTGGAAGTCTTTGAAAGCTATGTGGAAAGAAACCTGCACAGCCGTATTAGGAAGGAAGAAGAAAGAAGACAAGGAATGGATCTCGACGGATACCTGGAAGCTGATAGAGGAGAGGAGGATGGTGAAGCAGAAGATAAACCAGTGCAAGGATGCTCAACGACAAGAGGAACTGAGCACAATGTATAAAACACTGGACAAAGAAGTGAAGAAGAGTGCACGCAAAGACAAAAGACACTTCTACGACACACTGGCAAGTGAAGCAGAACAGGCTGCAGGTAAGAGAGACCTGACGACATTGTATCAAATAACCAGGTTGCTATCAGGGAAGAGACCAACACAGATGAAACCAATAAAAGATGAAGAAGGAAATTTAATTACAAAAGAAGAGAAACAGAGGAAACGATGGGCCGACCACTTCAAGAAGCTCTTGAATCGACCACCACCTGCACTTCGTCCAGAAATACCACCTGCAGCCGCTGAATTACAAGTGAACATAAATCCCCCAACGAAAATGGAAGTCCTGAACGCCATAAAGCTACTGAAAGGTGGGAAAGCAGCAGGACCAGATGGAATACCGCCAGAAGCACTGAGAACAGATGCAGAGACAACAGCGGACATGCTCACACCACTATTGCAGAAGGTGTGGAAGGAAGAGAAGGTACCTGACGATTGGAAGAAGGGTTACCTTGTCAAACTGCCGAAGAAGGGAGACCTCAGTGCTTGCAAGAACTGGCGCGGAATCACTCTCCTGTCCACCCCAAGTAAAATATTAAGCCGCATCATCCTGGAGAGGCTTAAAGACGCACTGGATTCAAAACTGCGACCGGAACAGGCAGGCTTCAGGAAGTACAAATCATGTGCTGACCAAATTGCAACTCTACGTATCATCATAGAACAGAGCATAGAATGGCAATCAGCTCTCTACCTCAACTTCATCGACTTTGAGAAGGCCTTTGACAGCGTCGACCGAGAAGTAATTTGGAAACTGCTTCAATACTACGGAGTACCGCAAACCTTTATCCGCCTCATTCAACAACTATATGAAGATGCCACATGCCAAGTAATCCACAATGGGAAGCTCAGTGATGCCTTTGAAGTGAAGACAGGAGTGAAACAAGGTTGCCTACTATCCCCCATGATATTCCTTATTGTGGTGGACTGGATCATGCAGCAAACAGTAGGCAGCGAGAAGAGGGGGATACACTGGACGACGGAAAAGAACCTAGAAGACTTGGATTTCGCCGATGACTTGTGCCTAATGTCACATAAACTTGAAGATCTGCAGGCAAAAACTAACAAGTTGACAGAAGAGGCAGCTAAGACGGGACTTCAGGTGAATATAGAGAAGACAGAAGTGATGAAGATACCGCACCACCACCATCAACAACAACAACAAACTCCAATCACCGTCAACGGGAGAAACTTGAAGGAAGTAACCTCCTTCACTTATCTAGGAAGCACTGTTTCAACTACAGGCGGGACGGACGAGGACGTCAAAGTCAGAATCGGAAAAGCAAGACAGGCGTTCATTAGCCTGAAACCAGTGTGGAGATCTTCTGCACTCAGCATGCGGAACAAGATACGGATTTTCAACACCAACGTCAAGTCAGTGCTCTTGTATGGCTCAGAGACTTGGCGCGCCACGAAAGGTATTTCCAATAAACTACAGACATTCATCAACAACTGCTTACGCTCGTTGCTGAAGATCAGATGGCCAGAAAAAATAAGCAACAAGGAACTCTGGGAACGAACCAACCAAGAACCTATCACGCAACAAATATGCAGGAAGAAGTGGAGATGGATTGGGCATGCACTGAGAAGGCCGACTGAGGACATCACGCGTCAGGCCCTCGAGTGGAATCCCTATGGGAAGCGACGAGTTGGACGTCCGAGGGTGACATGGAGGAGGTCATGCGAGGAGGAAATGAGAGCTTCTGGGCTGTCGTGGAACCAGGTTCAAAAGATCTCAGAGAACAGAGGTCACTGGAGGCGTGCTACTGAAGCCTTATGTTCCACTCGGAACCCAAGGGACTAATAATAATAATAAACTATGAGTTTAGATAACAGTGGATTTCAGGTAGGAAAACAATTAAAATAACAATAACAATTTTGACACAGGGGTGAGAACTGAAACGACTGAGCGTAGATCACATCATTCATAATAAGATAGTTAATAGTACTTATGCAAACATAATAAGAAAACCGGGTGTATATTGAGGTAATGGTAACAATGGTAATAGGAATAAGGTTAATTAGACGAAACAAATCAAGGAAGGAAAACAAAGTATAAGAGCGAAGAGCAAATAAGAAAGAGTGGATATGATTAGACGATGATGTAATTCCTACTATGGTAGATCCCAGCTGACTACCATTTCCTTATGAATGCAGAGGTTTGGTTTCATAACTCGAATCGCGCAGGCTTCTACATATCCAAGCAACTTATTTTTCTGTCTACTGATAACCGTAAAGGACTTACAGGTACCAATATCATATCCATAAACCACTAGGTGTTTCATGATCGAGCTCCTCAGGGTCTTCTCTGCATGCTTCAACCATTTGGGTAGGTGTTCAACTATTCGAGTAGACAGATGCCTCTCCATACGACTACTGTATTTGCTCCCACAGGCACATTCAAATTGATATGTGTAATTAGATGTGTCGAGGGTCGGAGACCTGTCTTTTCCTGATTGTTGCGGTACCGTTTTGGTAGTACTGAGGAGAACAAGTCTAGCAGCGTAATAAGTCCTTCTGACAGACTTCTCCGGTCTTCGTCTAAATACTTCTAGCACGTCGTCACCTTTGAATGGCAAAGTGATATAGACCGGTTTCTTCTGCATTGTTCCGGATGTTGTTCTGTTCCTACTCATTTCGCGTGATTGTTGATAAAGCTTTCTCGTTACCCATTCTTCGCTAGCACATTTTTCCAAGTCAGTATTTCGTAGTCTAGTGTACGGTCGGAACAAATTTTCTTGGTTCTGTTGAACAGCGTTCTGACTACATTCACTTCGCATTGGATCGAGACAAAGCTCGTAAAATGAAGGTACTGCTCTGTTCATGAAGGTTTTCTATAGATGGACCTTTCAATAGACCCATATAAGATATTCTCAACCCATTTCTACCCTTTGCATTACCACATGACCTGTGAAAACTGTTCATTTCTGTTGTTACACCTAAATCTGTCTCAGTCTGCGTCATATATGTATGTATGCTCTTTTGTATTGATTAACAGTATATTTAATCAAGTATGTAGAATATCCAGTTGACTAGTACTACAGAAACGTATAAATTCATTGAATTCTGCTTTTTTCACATTCCTTGTTTTAAATTTGTATCGGATAACAAATGTTTTCAATTATTTTACCATTGGTGATATTATCATTAGTGTTATTATCATTACAGACCAGCCATTTGTTCCCCTTCCCCCCCCTATTGTCTCTAATTACTTGACGTATTTTTCTCTTTTCTTTGTGTTAGTTACTGTCATACAAAATATCAGTTACATGACGACCTGTTTGAAATTTCACAAAAAATATATATTACCATAATTATTCTATAATTTAGTTATTATTTATCATTTTGACTGAGATAGCAGTAGTTAAGCAGATTAGTATTTATACTGGGTGATGATTGAAGGTGAAGTGAATATTTGGACCGCGGCTGGATTCAAACCAGCGACCACTAGGTTTCCGGCCCGATGCTCTACCAACTGAGCCAAGAGGTCCGGTTAGTTATTATCTTGATTATCTTATCAAGCATCACCCTCTTGATACTTTGAGATGAATAACCTTTTACTAAATAACTTTCACCACTAGACTAGTATGTAATTTTATGTTTTGAGAATGTTGTGTATTAGTGTACAGCCTTTGATGAGGAACTAATTGAAAATTGAAATATTTCTTCGCTCAAATTGTTTGTTTTCCTAAATATCTAAATAGTAATTTTGACGTTTACAGTTTGAGCAAACACTTAGTCGATTTCTTGTATAGCAAATTATCTCTATTAGTTCCCTTAAGCAACTGACCTCAACCTTACTTGCATCTGAAGGTAAGTTAGTATGTCGACTGACTCACAGAGACGACTACGCACTGGCTGTTTGGAGTCAATTTAATTTAAGGGTTTGTGGGGATTTGGTGAATTTTTAAGGTTGGGATTTATCCTGGACTAACATCAATTGAAGAAACACTGGAAATCTGGGAGCACTAGGCAGCTGTTTCGCTTTAATATGGAACTCAGCTGTGCGCAACCATGACCTCACCCCACCAGGGATCCAACCCGACCTTCAGGTTCCGTAGCCAACACGCTACCATTGGGCTACTGGGTCGGAATCCAATGGTCCGTATTTCCAACTTTTTGTCAGTTCACGACATGGCGTGACCATCATCCATTGTCATCGTTGAGTATTTGTCCTCACAGCCACCAGGATGAAAGAGCTGTCCAGTGCTCCGACGTTTCCAATGTTCCTCCAATGGTTATCAGCCTATGTTTAGAGTCAGCCAATTTCAGAAGAAAATGATAATAGTAGCGTAAACGAGTCTATCTCCAAGTCTTGGATATCTTCGTCCCAAGTGACTACAGTCAACCAACAGTATATCCAAGCATCCTATGCTATATGTTCCGCCATCGTGTGCTCATTTCGTTAATACCTCTCATCATCTAGCTTTGTACCATATGTTAGCTTTACTAATTTACATTCCCTTTTCTTCTCTCTTTCCAGCATCGAATATCTTCTACTGCACCGATAATGGGAGTGTATCAACTTGGGTTTTTTAAAAGTGTGCCAGGCCTTGAATCGATAGTTTTTCTTCAATTGTTTGGAGGCAGGTAGGAGTGAACCGTGGACCTAGGGTTCGTGGTAATTGGCACTCATCAGCAAGATATATCTTCAGCCTCGGGGGATCTGATATCCCCCATGAGATTCCAACCCGTATCACCTAATTTCGCAGTCAGCGATATTACCATTACTGAGCTATTCCAACTGCTATTGACCTGTCGGTATATCATTTCAAACCTATAAACACTAGAAAGTATGGCGCACAGATTGAACATCTTCCAATCATAAAATGGGTTAAACCAAAAATTCAATGCTTAATTCATTGACGATTGTATCATTTTACTAAGTGATTTGAAAAATGTTTAAAAAAAAGAAGTTCGCCAGTTTATTATCTTCACTCACGGTAATTCTTGACCTCGAATTTCTGATAGTATACAACTTTCTCCACCGAGATATTCATAGCACAAACTTAAAAAGCTGTAAACCACGAATGCTAAAATAGTAGAGTAAAGATGAATAGTGAAAATTAGCAATTACAGTCAGGACAATAACAGCATAAGATTGATCATTTATTTAGTGGTATACACACCACCTAACTATATCCAGTTAATCTAAAACATCTGACTCCTCGGATAGCAGCTACCTGCCCACGTCCCAGTGAAGAGCTACACATCAGACAACTGAAACAGCCTCCTGAGGTTCTATGAAAAATAACGGCATATCGAGCATTACATATCATGTAACAGTACACCGAAAGCTCCATTAATTTTGGTATTGTCAGCCAAGTTTCTAGTCATAAGTGACTCTTATAACAAATCACGAAAAGTGCCCTCTAATTAATTTTCCTGCTTGACAAAATGAAGAAATTTTGATAACCTTGTGTATGATTGGTTGTTTCTGCCACAGTCTTATCAGTGTCTCCATTTTTGACCTTCTAGTTGTTTCTCATTGGTTCACCAGAAACCAATACGAAATAACAAGAAGGTCAAATATGGAGACAATGGCAAGACTTTGGCAGAAACAACCAATCACACACAAGGCCATCAGGATAAGTTACAAAACCACTTTTAAAGAAAAAGCTTATAGCTCACTTCTTTCTAAAGTTCGTTCTGATGTTGTTGTCTAGAATGACAATGTAAGCTTCACAATTTGACCATGCAAATCAGAGAACACAACACTATCAAAATCCTTCTGAGCTACAAATATTTTCTATGATTTCGAAATAAAGAAACTTAATGTGGTAAACACTTTAACTGATAGTTAATATACAGAGCTGTGTTTTATTACTGCCTATACCTTATCAATTAAAAAGTGAAGCGAAACCAAAAAGCTGAATAAAGTGACACCATAGTGCAATGAACTCAGTACTAGATGATTTCTGATTGGTAGAAAACTCAACACTTTGTTCATCAATAATTAAAATTATTTAAAGCAAAGTATTGTACTATTGTGAACCGTTGTAACAAGTGAGTATAAATAACTTGGTCTTGAAGGCATTCAGTAACGATCTAAAAAGCCAAAGTAACAGTGTTGACTTCAGCACTAAATAAGTCATTTAGGTTGCCACACCTCCTATATGTAAAATGAACTTACTTAAGGTCTCAAATATGATATATATATATATATATATATATATATATATATATATATATATATATATATATATATATATATATATATATATATATAGCAAGAGACACCTGTGAGATGTCTGAGGAACATAGAATACTTGAAGAAATCCATTACTTCATGAAAAACAAAGTGTTATATGAAAAACTCATCGAGTTAAAACAGTGACAGGTAAAGGGCGATAACTTCTTTCACTAAATCCTTTCATGTACGACCGACCACACAATACTTGTATAAAGATACTAGCTGTTAAAAATTATCATTATTATGATTATTGTTTAGGTGTTTAGCTAGCTGAAGCTTCGCTTCAATTTTCCAGGCCGATCTTCAGATCTATGGACTTCAGACCGAAAACCTGGTAATTCCGACAGACATCTTCAAAACTGTTGATGACGTAATGGGAAATATTTCTCCCGTAAGCCTCCGCAAATGTCAGCGTTTAGTTTTTTTCCAATCATGCATTCAAGATGCAGCAAAACTAAACATCCCAAGTAAGCTTTTACAATTATCTTTTGAATTCATTGTTTTTCACATCTTGAAGAATACAAGTATAGTTTAAGCGTGATATAAATACCTTTTGTTTCAATAAAAATTGGCGTAAATTGAAAATTTATTCATATAAATGATGAATACTTGATTATCTAAAGGTCAGATTATAATTATTTGGTCTTGATCACATTTTGGAGGGTTTTACTTCAATTTTCGGCCCAGCTCCACGCTCCAAACTGGATTACCTGTCAAAATGGACTTTATTTTCAAGAAACTGGTTGGTTGGTTCCCTCGCCGAGCAGGAAACATCATAAAAACGCGCTGACATGAAAACGAGCACTCCAGTCAGAGCACTTCGGTTGACACCCCCTCAAACCTGAACAGTATAGTTTCAGGACACTCCCAACTATCGGCGCTCAATGCATCCACATTCGTCGGGTAATCGGGTCGTTGACCATATTCATCACCCCCTGCGAAGAACCGTGTGGAATGTGTCTCACTGAAATCTCTAGAACCTTGAAGACCTAATTGCAGCTAATCTCCTCAAAAAGACATTCCTCTAGTAAATCTGCACCATAATGTCGACAGGTTCACAGTAGTGGCTCTTTTTTGGTTACTGAGTTATAGCTAAGGCTAGGGCGAATGACGGAGGCATTTCCGACCGAATATCACTCTCCCTCGTCAGGTAAGACTACATGCATCTCTGAGGATTGCTTTTATAACAATGACTACCGGAATTAGGAAGCTGAATTCCCCTTACCTATCGATAGCACTGTTCCCATCCCACTCGACGGAATCCTATCTGTCAGTAAAACCATCCATGCTGTTCAGACCCGTACTACCAATCTCGCGCATATGGATCTCACCAACTGCAGCTTTTACTAAGTCAACTTGGCAGTGTATTGGTTGGTATTCAATGGGACCATTTGGATGCTCACAGTTGTACGCAATTAAGCTCGAACCCTAATCCCTGGTTTTCACGAGCCAACAAAACAAACTCAGCACCACTTAACCACGCCATGTAGAGCCTCTTCACTTCAACGCCGTCTCTGGTAGGCATAATGCCTAGAAAGTCATAGGTACTCTCACCACTCAACTAGTAACTAGTGAGTGACGGGCTCAAGCCTCGCGTCATCTCTCGAGACTTATGAAGTCAAATGGCATTATTAATACATACACACATGCAATAGGTGTGATTCATTGTCTGATACATAAAAGTGCACCTGACTGTTGAATACATTTCTTTTACCCGATATGACTCTAATAACTGTGGAGAAATATGTATCTCCTGCTTTAAAGGATAACGTTGGCAACTGTATAAAAATTGAAAAATAAGTGTCATTCAACATGGTTTACGAAGAAACCAAATTACATCCAAATAATCAAGAATAGAACAGTATGATCGATCTTCGGAATCTAAAACGGAACGATAACTAAAGTAGTAGAATATATATTAATTATATGCAGCTTCTTGCAGATAATTTGTAAAATAACTGATGCTCTCGAACTATGAACCCTGTCCACAGGAACCAGGGGACTTTACGAACTAGTCGCAGAAAAGACAGCAAAAGGAGGACGCGTAAGACATGGCATCCAGATTTTCGCTGATATTTATAGAGCGACAGCAGAAGTAATGCAGTCTGTGATGGCATATTAAGATGAAAACCATAGTCTTCTTTATGAAGTAGGACCACTACTTGTTTGAGACTAGTTATAAACGTGATCAAGAACTGATCCAGTCCTCAATGTTTTAGTAGAAGTTTGACAATAATGTTGTCAGTTGTAGTAGACTAAAAATTAGATCTCAATTCAAAATACGTTAGAACTGAATATGCCACATTCATGATCATTGAAGCGTTGTTGGAGCAAATAGGTAACACTTCATATTTGCGAAGATAGTAGCTCAGCCTACATAAAATATGATGATCAGTTAGGTTGACAACCTCACCAATCTGGAAACTGTTTATTCAGTGAAACTAAGATAAATTGGAAGTGCTTTGAAATAACTTCTGTCAAAAAGCCTGATAACTTTAGCATCACAAAATTCGGCTCCAAGATCCCATCTCTAGGCACTCCATCACAACGCCATACCTAAAGAAACGTTTATCCGTTAAGCTTATAATAGATCCTGAGAGTGCTGGACTGCTTTTCATCCTGGTGTGGGAATCCTCAGCAGTATGTATGCATGCTCCCGTCAAGGATCAAAAGCGCAACCTTCAGGTCCCGAAGTGAACAATTTACCATTGAGACATTGGGTGGGAACTGAATGGCCTATATTTTTGTAATTGTATCGGTTCACAAGGTAGAGTGATCTTCATCCAACACCTTTGCTGAATATATGACCTCAAGTCTGATTTGATTTGACCTGTCGGTAACTACTCATTAAAACTTTGGGAAATCTTATCTGAAAGCAGATCATTAATGAGAACAGTGGACATAGATTAATTAGGTCAGAAGGAAATGAAGTTAACAATAGAAGTTGCTCCGTCATTTTTTCAATGTATATAAACTAACATTCTTCGTAAGGTTAATTTTTCTTCCCCTACTTGACTAGTATTCAGAAATTTTTTTATTACTCAAGAATAATAAGACTTTTATGAATAAAAAGCTTTGAAACCTATGAAAGCAGTGTTGATTACTAAAAATAACTGTTCAGCATAATAAAAGGACTAAATTCGACTATCGTACGATACAGATAGATGTACATGGATGGAATACATTACCCTATTGATCAAATCTACAGCAATATTTCACACAAGGAAATAACCTACCCACAGCATAAGTTGGTTAGTTAAGTGAAATGTCAACCATTATTAACCAATCAACACTTTTCAATCAGTTCTTATTCAGTAACTAGGTGAATAACAGAGAGTACAGACAATTAAGGCGCTCAAGTATTTTACCTATATACCTTCCTACCTAAGTAGGCATTAAAAGATTAACGCTACTTCATCAGAATAGTTTATTTCCGTCCATTCCTTTTTTTTAGCCTATGGCAAGAAACAGAGTTATACAATCTAGGAGGATAGAATTTTATTGATTTGTAATGCTTACGCTTACAGAAAGCAATGTAGGCCAACTAGGATGCATTTACAATCAACGCTATTCTTTCAATTGATAACCATATTTTCTTTAGTGTTACTAACATATACACATGAAAGAGGAATGACTCAAAATATGATTGGTTGAATGAGTGTGAGACGAACAGTTAATGCATCCAATAACTAACATGCAAAGATAGGTGTATACTCACGTAAGAAAAAGGCATAAATGAGCACATCACGCCCATTATATACTGAAGAGAGGAGAGTAAGAGAGAATGAAATTTTTGTTTTGAGAACAGATAAAAATCGAAGTCTTTAATTTCTCATACAAACAGCTAACCAACAAAATTCCATTTTTGAGATGAATGGGGATTTTTTAATTTAGAAGTAGTATTCATCATGGACTGACATCTGTTGGATAACCATTGAAAATCTGAAGGTCCTGAGTTCGACCCCTAGCCGGGTTGTGGGTGCGTACTGCTGAGGAGTCCCATACTAGGACGAAACAGCTGTCCAGTGCTCCCAGATTTTCAATAGTTCCCCAACTGATGTCAGTCCATGATGAATACTACTTCAAAATTCCATTTCATATGAAAAACATGAGCATTCAGTTGGTGGGAAAAAATAATAATCAATATCTGAGACATAATTTTGATCCCATTTGAGAATTATTATAACACTACTACCAATAGAAGCTGTATTGATGATGTAAGGATAACGATAATAGAATGTGTAGATAAAAAATAAGAATGTACATTGAAGGTGCTTTAAGTTTAGACAAACAAAAGTACTCAAAATAACAAGATTGTTGCACATCAAAGGGAGAATTAAAAATCGCTTTAGTCAAAAATATCGTCTATCTGAGTGATTCTCATTACCTGTCTACATATCTTTAATTCCTATTTCTCTGCAATTGGTGTAACCAAGCCTTCTAATTTCCTTAGGATAAGGAAGGTAACATTGATAAACAGTAGAATTTATTCAATGAACAGGTGAATTTTGAAAATGCTCATTTTTGTAATATACTGACTTAACAATCAGCTCGGTTAAAGAAGCGTTGACGTGATCTATGAGGATAACAAGTTATTTAACATATTTACAGTAAGCTAATAAGAATCAATCCAACACGTTAGAACAGTACAGCTTCTTAGATCTTCAAATAAGGTCTACCTGTCATCGGCATACAATGCAATCTGAATGGATTGACAAAGAAACTTATTAGCACTGATGATGTTTATCCACACTTAGTAACTTTCATAAGTTTGTGATTTCTGGTGCCTAAGTTAAGCCTGTTTTTTTTAAATGTCTAAGTACAACAATTATGAAATTTTAAAAGCTTACTTCATAATAACGCTGGAGTCAGAAGTCATTGTGTTGATGATTCGAAGATCTTCTAACGAAGTTGCTGAACTTAACTTTTAATTGGGGTCTCACAAATGCCTCAATCAATCAACCGTTAGCCCTTATATTAATTAATAATAATAATAATTAGTAAATTATAAGAGATTTTTAATCATGTAATGAATATTGACACAGTTTCACTGAAAACTTTGCTTGCATCAATCGTTCTCTTAGGTCTTAAATAAGGTGTAGAGACGATTTATATACGTGTGTATTAGGTAATATTGTCAGGAACGTTTTCCTCCACTATCAAACACGCACCTACGCATCTACCCCCCCCCCACACACACACACACGTCCTATTGCACAGGCCGCATTCTTCGAATTTTACTCCGACTTCTAGTATAAACAAATGTAATGTAGCATGATACTTTAAAATATGAGGGAAAAGACACTGGAATAAAATTTTCACTACTGTTCACATCCATTTACTATCTTATCGTCAAAACAGATACCGAAACGAGAGATTTTTCATCTACTAAGTCGATACAGCAGGACGGGACTGAAGACTAAAAGTGTTACACAAGCTAGGCTACACGCTATCCCTATTGCATGATGCTAGCACTAGAAAATATTAACAGTAATCAGATCATGAAGTTTTAGTGTTGTGAGGTAGTGTAGGCTTATTGGTTAAGATCTTAGAAATGGGAGGTGAAATGGAAATCTGGGCCGCTGGAGGATTCGAATCAGCAACTACCAGTTTACCGGCCCGATACTCTACCAACTCCACTCGTCTCTAATTCAAGTAGATTGGGATTGGGATGAGAAGTTCTGGACGTGTAGCCAGTGTGAACGCGATTAAATGATATTTACGTGCCACAAATTCATATGGCAGTCGACCTAAACTCTTGGTGACTGAAGTAAAATTAAGATCAGCTCGTGTCTCGTACTACGGTTGGTGAAGCACAGGGCCGGTGACCCGAAGGTGGCTGTTTCAAATCCTACCGAGACCCAGGTCTTCATTTCACCTTCCATCATCACCAAATATCAGTAGAAGTCTGCCAAAACACGGGAATTAATTATAACAGTAATTTATCTATGGTGAAAAACCGAGGAAGACAGATGGTGAATACTTCTGTTCAGATCTAGGGCTTCCTACCGATTACTTCCAACCGATTAAGATCTATCGACGCTGTGTATCCTAACTTGGTGGTCACATTGTAAATATGATCGGTAGAATTCGGTCTGCACTCAGGACTACACAACCTGAAATTGGTTGCTCTCCCATGACCAATCTATGTATCTAATCCATTCCTGTAGAAGATCTATCGCGGCCTGAATAGCTCAGTAGTAACGTCACCGACTACAACACTGGGTGGTGGAGGTTTGAATCTCAGGCAGGACGTCAATTTCGTCGAGGTTTTAGATACGCCTTTCTGACAAGTGTCAACAAGAACAAAACCTAAGTGATGCAAGGCTTTCTACCGATTGCCTTTAACCAACTCATATCTACATCTGTTCCCATGCCGAAAAGATATACCGACTAATGAATTGTAACTGTTGATTTACAACTATCATCAATCCATAATTGTACTCATTCGAAAATCTCATGAATTCACTAAGACTATAATCATTACCAATCATTTTAACACCGTAGTTAGATATTAAATCGATAAAATGATATCCACTTCTAACAATAATTAACAACTCACCTTCATAACAATCTCTTATGGAATCGAAATAAACATAATAGTCTTCATGTTTTAAAAATAATAAACTAAGCCATGATTCGAATGCATAAATTGGTACATAGAACAAAATACGAACAACCCATCTTTGTTCATTTGGACATGTATAATTAATTAAATGCAAATAGATCTATTAGACAAGAAAGAAAATAAATATAAATAAAAATCAAAGTTGAAATAAAGTGATTGAACGAGAAAAACAACTAGTTACGGTGGCTAGTGGTTAATAGTGGACTCCAGGATGTGAATTTCATCCTATTCAAGACTCATCAGATAGGTGTACCTGTTTCTCAGTGAGCAATGTTGTTTCGACCAGGGCTCGAACCCGCGAACAATTGCCTCAAACACTAGACCATAAAGTCATAATAGCCATCCCTTCTCCTACCCATATAGTTCCTATGTTATTGGTTTTAATTCCATGTCTTCAGTTGGAATGAATTGATTAGCCACTATTGTCATATTAAGTTTTCGTTTACAGATATGGAAAGCTGATCCTACAGTCTGTATGTGTTGACCGCAAGTGGATAATTACTTTCTCATCAAGTTAGTCTTCATCGTAGACTGGCATCAGTTGTAGGAACAATGGAAACCTGGGAGCATTGGACAGAGGTTTCGTCCTAGTATGGGACTCCTCAGCAGTGCGCACCCACGACCCCGCCAGGTCGCGCCATGTGAACTGACAAAAGTTGGAAATATAGACCATTGGATTCCGGCCCAGTGGCTCAATGGTAACATGTTAGCCACGGAACCTGAAGGTCACGGATTCTACCCGTAGCAGGTTCGTGGGTGCGCACTGCTGAGTCCCATACTAGGACGACACAGATGTCTAGTGCTCCCAGGTTTCCACTGTTCCTCCAATTGATGTCAGTCTACGATGAATACCAACTTGAAATATCTCTAAATCCCCACAAATCCCCCAAAGTTAATAAGACTGAATAGCCAGTTGAATATCATTTTACTGTCATTTATTTTTCCTTTTCCATCGAAATACTTGTCTATTGAATATTGTGTAACACAGTAACCAACAAGGATGTACTACAGACATAACTTTTAAACGATTTTCAGGAGTGAAATAAATGAAAATCTACCTCTATACATTCTGCTTCCAAAGCTTCAAAGAAAAAAAACACAAACTATATGTACGAATATTCATAAGAAAAAATCCACTTGAATTGTAGCCATTACTCATATGCATAACACCGAATAAACTAACTGCAAATATTGTTAAAGCTTTGGCTTGGTAACACTTCGCTGGACCTAATTGTTGAACTGCTTGCTATCTTTTAGTCAATACGCTATCACCATACAACAGTACCTTGACATTAATACAAATAAAATAAGAAAGTCTTATAGTTGAAAAGCAGTATACACTTGTTTTATACTACTTTTCTTGATACTTTAATCGGAAGTACCTCATTGTTCGAGTAATGATGCTTCTCTCTACTACTAACTTCTACTATGCATTAAATCCTCAATCTCCTAACAACTCTAATACACCTGAAACAAGACCTAATATAAAAGCAGTACAAGAAAACTAGGTGACCCCATATCACTGACTGGGTGGCAGGTACATCCAGCTGACGAGTGAAAAACGCACATCCTAGATTCCATTCCTAGCCACTAATCATAATTCAATACTCAGCTGTATAACATAAATAACATATTATACAAATATTTTTCCTTGGATGTTCCATTCTTTTGACAGTTTGTCCTAGAAAAGTTCCTACACATCAAAAGCAAGAACTTAAATAGACGTCAGTGCTTCTTTGGTCTGTTTCAAGTTTGATGCACATCAGCAAGAAAATTCCAGATTAAAAATCCTAAGTTGAAAATCCTAAAACGTAAATTGAGTAGTACTCAAGATACCTAGTTGGGATCCGCTTAACATTTATTGATTAAAACAGAATGTGATACAGGAATGTAATATTGATCTCCACGATATTCAGCAGATGAACGAAAACAGGAAAAATTGTCAATTTCAGGTTGGTGTTCATCATGGAGAAACATTCAAAATCTGGAAGCATTGTACGGCTGTTTCGTCCTCGTATGGGACTCCTCAGCAGTGCTTACCCATGATCCTGCCAGGGTTTCCAGTGTTTCTCCAACTGGTATCAGTCAGTGGTGAACACCACCCTAAGATCAATCAATAAATCCTCATAAACCTCCAAATTAAAATTTTCAACTGTTAAAAATCCATTTGATCGCATGATAATCCAGTGTTTACGCAGAAAAAGGATAATTCATCTTTTCAGTCAGTCAATATCATAACACAATGAACCAATTTGCCACACTTCATATCAACACACCAAGGTAGAAGACATCAAGCTGAAAGATACGCGAATAAGGAAGGAAGTGATTAAAAATACTAAAATATCACAAGAGAGAGAAGACAACAGCAAACCGCAAACTATTTCAAGAACCATATGCATGTTCATATATGCACTAGACAATGAGTCATCCATATTGTGTGAGGGTTAATGATATTAGCCGACCGCCCAAACCTCGACAGGTGGAGTGTGGTTTGAGCACGTAGCTCGCTCGTCGAAAGCTACCTGCCTGAACTTCTGAGTCACAACTTCACAAGAGAAAAAGAAGGATAAAACAAACAGTGAAATCTGACTTGACAACCATTGTGAAGATAATATAAAGATATTTCTGCATCATTCAAATCGATACTGAACCGTTCCACTGATTTTGACTAAGATGTGGAGCCCGAGAGGTGAGTCTACATTTCAATACACAGCTCAGATCAAGTCAGACGACGCATACACTGGTGCAATGCTTTACTCTGATCGCTTTTGAACATTTTCTTGTCTAAACTTACTCAATACTGTGCGGTTTGACAGACATAGACCCCGTATGAATAATACCAGTGCCAGCCATCTGAGTCTATAAATGTTTTCAACCTTATGGTGCTCCTTCTTGTCACCAAAATACCATTCGTTTATTCTTTTCACTGCATAATTATAAATGCACTACTTTTTTGAGCGTTTATATGCCTTTAACTGATCCTTTAGTACAAGTACTTACACGCAGGTAAGGTACTGATTAGAGCTGATACTAGTGCATATCGATTTATACGAGACTAGTCCCGTTCTAGGCAACAACGATACAAGCAACGTTTCGCAATCTCACCACCTAACTTGCTTCTTTTAACTAAGACTCTACGCTTTACTTCCACGTTGCTGATGTGGCGGTTCCTTAACACATGGATTAAGTTACGAAGGCAACGGCGGTTAAACAATTGAAGCCTTCTCATTTTCTCTACCTTTTAATAGCTATGTTTTACAACCACATCAAAGAACAGTGCGAACTGTAGTGCTTTGAACTCGACCTTTAATAAGCAATCGGACTTCTTGGTGGCACTACACATAGTGTAAGTTGGCAAAATTAAGTCGAGCCTTTTGTATCCTTGCAGAGATTTTGTTGTTTACTAATCAAACAGGGTAAAACTGACTTCCTACGTTAGTGAAGCGATCAGCACGCCCAACCGCTTTACTCCCTATCGTTAGAAAAGGCATCAGTTCAGACAGGTTTTGGAACGATAACAAACATTTGTGTGGTAAAAAATGCAACCTAAACACCCTCGGAATGTCATTTAAGGTGTCCAGAAGACCGTGGTTTTTCAAAATACTCACCTGCTTACTCCTAATCTACTAAGGATTTTCTTGCAGAAAGATCAGAAAAAGATAAGACCTACAGAAGCATCTCTATTATGAAACTGGATAAGAATGGAGGGAGTAGACGTCCTTGACGGACACCACTCAACGTAAAGCTCACCTAATAACTCACTACAAGCTGCAAAACGAGTACAGAGCCTTCAGCAGAGTGATGTACTTACTCGAAAATATCTGTTTCAGAAAGAGACTACCACGAGACCTCTCAACCAACGGAGTCGACCGCTGCCTTCAGGTCAAGAAATATAACTAGTATCAGATGATTGTGCACCCGTATTGAAAAATCTGGTAGGGGTGAATATCTGGTCGACGCATCCATGATCACGTCTGAAACCATCCTAGTTTTCTCAAGTATGCTATTTTCAAGCTGTTCATAAGCTTCAAACAGTTATCAAATTTACAATCTTGGATATTATGTTCATCAGACTGATTATCATTGCGAGTATCCAAATTCATCATCCTGACAACAAATTTCAGACATGGATTTCGATTAAGTGGTCGAAGTTAACCAAGTGGTTGGTTAAAAGAGTAAACTGATAAACCAGATTCTAAATTTTTGATATGCATCTGTGATTTTACGATCTAGTTAACCTAAAACACACTTTATTCTAACCTTCAACTTTGTTATTAGACAGAAATAAAAAGCTAAAACTAGAGATAATTAGATAGCTTAGAGAGTCTCTGGTAACATTTATAACAGATATGAAACTGAACGATCTGGATATGCCTTCCATCAGTTGAATGATGTCAGCCAAAGCTGATGACAAAAAAGGTGATCTCCATTGGGACCCGGTGAATTATGAGGTTTTACGTTATTGTGTAGCCTCAACATCATTTCCCCAACCACCTAAATAGGCATCATTACGGGAGCATCGGTCATTTTGGGATTTAACATTAAGTTTTACTGTCAACCGGATAAACCTCGCTGAAGTAATTTGATACATTTCGTCTTTATTCATATCCAATCCTACCAATGTATTCAAAGTCCCACCAGAGAGCTGAGCGGTATTGCATTGTACCTCCTGCTCCTGCACCTAATATGAGGGTAGTCTTCTGGGATGGTTGGTACAGTTATACACTAATTACCTTTCAAACTGAATGCAAATTTCAGCAATAATTCTTGCATAATTTTCTGATTTTACAGTACTTCAACACAACATATCGCTCCCTGCCTTGTTATATAAATCCCATTAGCGCTTCCTGTACCTCGTTAACCTTTGGGTCTGACTACCTATTCAAAGTGGTCTGAGGTATCTATGGTGTTGACTAAGTGATGAGAAAAGATGTGACACCTTTGAGCATGGTTCTCAATTTTATCTAGGCTTTTCAAACACTTATATTTGTAATTATGGACCAGTTCGCTGAGCTCAAGGTGTTCGTAATCGCCGATACTTCTGCTCTGCAAATATTCTGTCAAGGTGTCAACTATTAGACCGTTGGACGTCCAAATGTAAAAGGATTAACTACACGATCACTACGAACCAGCAGTAAGAGTTATTGGAGGTCACTTACACCCTCGCACCTGATGTGTAAAAACTTGATCCATTAATGGAAGTTCATGATCTGGGTCAAAGTGTGTTGGTATGACTACATTTTTCACAATGTATCCTCAATTGCTACAGTACCTCACCTTGAATGAACAGAGCAACATGCATCCCTACATGTGTAACTGGCATGCACCCCGAATATATAGTACAATACTATTACGTTTACAACTGATGCCTCCATCAGTTCTTACACAAACAGACCTTGGTATGAACATTTCAAATTCCATTTGCACTTGTTACAATTTCTCCGTGGTTGTTATTACGCCATGTTGTAAATCTCTGACTAATTGCCTTGACTATGATAATTTATTTCTACAGGAATAAGTGTAACATACAACCTTCATCTAAATTATGAATCGCAGTCTCCTTCACATTGGCTGTCAAGACCTCACCACCCAGTATTTAAAGTTTCTGTTTACCCTTTTCGAACCAGGCTTTTAATCCACCTGCAGATTCTTCATATATTAATCTGGAGGTCAGTCAGGCCAAATTCTTATGTTCCTACTTAGTACATTATGAGCATTAATGAGGATAACTTCCTATTCTTCACTAGCAACTTAGACTACCCTTACTAATCGCCAGGAAATTCCTGTTATCTTATCTTCCACTTCCCAGTATCAATGACTTTCTTGATACGTGTGCCACCCGAAGTCTATGTAAGTGAATGCCTGGATGCCCTGCCTATTTATTTCAGGTCCAAGGCATGTCGTTTAACAGCGTCCTAGTTCTTTGGTGCCTCGATATTCCAGATTATGAAACTGAACAGAATCTACATTTATAGATGATGTTTTCAATCTTTCACGTTCCTTCTGACTTCGTTTGAATCCTTAACTGACATGGATAGTTTGTCGTTTTATCTTGTAGGATGCCTAAACCCTCAGAGATTAGGGTCCTTTCTCATTTTTCAGGATTTCAACACAACTGGCAGATATAGATCCAGTGTCTATCAAGTAGTTAAACCCCCGCTGGAACAAACCAACTGAATTTTCGGCTGCTGCGCTTTCCAAACTACAGGCCTTGCGTGTACATCCTTGGGTCCTAACAATAAGAGTTTAGCACTAGTTTTCTTCTAGGACTTTTACCCCTAAAATGATCTTACTACTAGACGCCACGTTTATTTTTGCCCCCCACATGAAACTTCGATCAATGACACAAGATACCTCATCATCAGATACCAGATTCATCGTAATGCTGTTTGCAGCTACTTGAATCCTAAGAAAATCTTGCGATCAAGTGAAAGCTTGCAGACTATGATTAAACCTATCTTAAAAATTGCGCTTCTTTATATTTCTCTCTTGGTTGTTTTGTATTAGTCTTCCCAAAACATTCACAGAAATGGCAAACCTAAGCCTCAGTTTCTTTTATGAAGGGCTAGTTGGTTAAAACTGGAATCCCAAACAGTTATCTTAAGTAAGAATTTACAAAAGCAGATTAAAAAGTGCTAATTATACGTACCTGATGACAGGTGACAAGAATTGCTGTAAAAGCCACTAGTCCAGTAAACACTTGAGCCCATCTCGTTTCCAGAAACAAGAACTGCTCAGAAACGTGTTTTGATGCATTCTCAATGTGAGAACTGTTTGGCAGAACAGTTGATAAGAGATGGTACGAATGAGTTGTCAAGACAGGCAGTGGAGTCACACTATCCATTTCGAAGAGTTTAAAAATCTGCCAGAAAGCATTGGTTATATTAACAAGATGAAGTGGAGAGTTATAACAGAAGCCCACCAATCCAGTGTCCAATTTCCTTACCAAAGGAAAAATTTGAGCTTGTTTGTGAATCCATCCTCATTTCTCACTCTAACAAATTTTTATTGGGTTCATGATCGATTCTGAGACAACATAGTTAGTCATCTATCTACTAGGTTCCAGCATCAATACCGCGGGTAGAGGAAACTTATTGTTTTTGAACTCTCACACCTAGGTCTTGAGGACCAGTTTCTTGTCCCTTTACACACATTCGGTATTTGCAGAAGGCTTTTTATTTTACCTGCCCATAGCTTTCGTTGTAGTGATTACCTACCTGGCGGTTTACATTTGAAACTGTAGGTTGGCTTTTTTAGGGGGGAGTTGCGGAGTCGCTTATAGGTTCAGCCAATCTTTTGCAATTCTTGTCTTTAAAAGTGTATCTAAGAATTAGTAGGCATCACTCGAAAAACAGTGTGAGGGATAACTTGGTACAGAATATGAAGTGAGGAGTGAAAAGTATTCACAAAAAAAGTCTTTTAGTTTTCGTATTGTGAATTTAACATGACGAGAACCATATTACAGGCCTCTCTAAACTGATAATAGTCAAGAAAAAGACAGATGTAGATCACTCATTGGTGGCGCAGGATGTAGGCCAATGAGGTTTAACATGACACCAAAAGTGTCCACCATGTATGTAATAAACAAGAATATATTTTAGGATTTGTCCTGTTGCGAACTTGACAGACGCAAAGACCAATCACTAATTATTCGAACTTGTTATATACCCACGAATACGAGACCGAGGAAGAACACGATGGCGTAGTCGGATGGAATAGTATATTTGGATGTTTGTGCCAGAATACCGATGCGTTCCAACTAACTGGCCAGAGAGTCGGATACGAGCGATGCAACGTAACACGACAGCGTGCCAAATGGCGAGGATGCTTGACCGGGTGCCTTCAGTTTAGCGAGTCCAGTTAAACTATCAAGGTCAGCATCAATGTCGAAAGTCGTCAAACCCTAGGCTATTGATTTCAGGGAAGTGTATGACGCTACAGATCACTCCCCCCTAGTGGGTTCGTGAGGATCCTAAGACGATACCAGCCGGAAGTAAAAACCCACTGGTTTCTCCACTGGTAAAACTCTTCCGATGGGCTCACTGCGTGAAGTGGCCCCTGGTTGTCTGAATTTATTCCAGGGTGTCGTGGCAATTAAATAAATAAAATACAATAGATCGAATTGGACGTCGATCGCGGTCCTCAGTTCCTTTCGATGTTCCGTTCAGTGCTCGTTGCACCTGGAATATAAATAAAAGTCTTTAATACCACGAAAACGTTTCGTAAAAATGGGAATTATCCATATATAAACATGTCGAAAAATAAAAATTTACGCTTATTTTCACCGTCTTTTAAAGTTTCATTACATGGTAATAAAAATTGATATATAAAAAGGCAAAGCGTAAGAGGGTTTGTATTGAGGTATCGGGTAGCAGTCCGGAGTTGTTTTGGCGTTAAGCCTCCGGCAATCACCGGTTGGACGCCAGTCGTTGCTATCCTTTTTGGAGACCACGTGCAATGGTGATGCTCGAGGACCGTTTGACGGTCTGATAATGCTCAGTTCGAGCATGTGGTCGAATTCACTCTTCACCGTTTTGAGCTTATCAGGGGCTAAACGGTGCGCTTTGGACGCCACAGGTGGGCCTGTGGTTGTGATGTGATGCATAACATTGCTGGTTATGCACGGAAGAGTGTGCTTCGGTTGCTGCAACTCTGGACATTTCCCCAAAACTGCTTGGTTAGACGCGTCGCCTGATTGTTTAGTCCTAACAATGGCTAAACTCGGACCTACATAGGTGGTGCCGCCAATAGATAACTTTGTGTTGTTATCTATCAGTCGTCGACGGCGAGCATCTACGAGATCGTAATGGTTTAGCAAATCTATGCCAATGATGGGCATAGAGACGTTAGCCAGGAGGAAGATCCAGTGGACAGGTTTACGTAAACCCAAGTTGAGGTAGGCATACTGTCTCCTGAATGTCGCGATTGCCTTGCCGTTGGCTGCTTGAAGATTGAAGGATGGGTCGTGATGGCGCTCCTTTGTAGGTGCGGGCAGGACGATAACCTCTGCGCCGGTGTCGACGAGGTAGCGGACTTTCGTTTTCATGTCGGTTATGTAGAGCAAACGGCCGTTTCCACCGGCTACGGTTGCCGTGAGCACGTGCCGGCGTAACCGTTTCCCGAGTTTGTGTCCTTGTTAAAACTGCATGGTTTCCGACATTTTCTGGCTTCGTCTCCGTAAATATGATGAAACCAGCACCATTCAGGGTTTTTGACCCTGCTAGGTTTAGTTTTGGGGCTACCACGAGAGTTGCTGCGATGCACTAAGACGCGTTTCTGTGAAGTGCTACGTGAGCTAGTACTTCGAGATCGTGGCAGCTGTTTAACAGAGTTGCACAGCTTGGTCACCTCTGAATCTTGGCTCTCTGGTTTGTCGCAGATAGAATATACGTTGTAGACGGGCCTGCCAGAAATCTCCAGTGTTTTACCTGCTGAGGCTGCCAGATCATCGAGTGAGACTGACTGCAGTGTCACCAACACGATTTGCACCGGTTGTGGTAGTTTCGAGAGAAATAGTCCTCGGAAAAGGCCCTTGTCGAATGTTCGTGCACCGGTTACTTCTCGCATGCGTGCGAGGACTTCAGTAGCTGAGTGGCTGCCTAGCTCGATGTTACGAAGTAATTCGTCTGGGCGCTGGTGATCTGTGAGATCGCTTTTCTTCAAGAGTGCGGCCTTGAGAAGTGCATAAGGATCACTTACTTCAGGATTAAACATGTGTGCCGTAACATGTTTGTTTAATTCCCGCAGTAGTGAACGTATGACAGCAAGAAATCGAGAATGAGGATGTGAGACACCCTGTTCTCGAAAATCTGCCTCGGCATATAGAAACCATGTTTCCGCATTGTCTGGCCAATATGGCACGAGTTGGGTCGTGTTCGTAGTCGGCTTAATACGAATAAGCTTGGGAGTGTGTTCGGACATGAGAAAGTGTAGTAAATGGATATATAAATGTTATCGAAATGAAAGCAATAAACAAATATAAAATGGAACAGGCTCACCAATTCAATACTTGTTATTGGTGGGGATGTGATCACGTTGGGCTCACCAATTTAGGATTTGTCCTGGTGCGAACTTGACAGACGCGAAGACCAATCACTAATTATTCGAACTCGTTATATACCCACGAATACGAGACCAAGGAAGAACACGATAGCGTAGTCGGATGGAATAGTATATTTGGATGGTTGTGCCAAAATACCGATGCGTTCCAACTAACTGGCTAGAGAGTGGAATACGAGCAGTGCAACGTAACACGACAGCGTGCCAAATGGCGAGGATGCTTGACCGGGTGCCTTCAGTTTAGCGAGTCCAGTTAAACTATCAAGGTCAGCATCAATGTCGAAAGTCGTCAAACCCTAGGCTATTGATTTCAGGGGAGTGTTTGACGCTACAATGTCACCTTTCATTTCATTGACAGTGTTTATGAGTTAGGTCATTGTCATTCGTTTTTCTTACTATCCATAAGTTGCATCGAATGCACGAAATATTCAATGTTTGTTTTGCAGATACCCGACATTTCTGATCCGTCTGTTCATGGTTTAGCGCGCGTGCTTCGAACAGTGACGTGAACTGTTTGTGTTTCCTCTAGTTTTGATTTATCTTCATTAATGAACCATCATCTACAGTGTTCCACCACCAGAAATCAGACTTTTACAACGTTCCTTCAGTTGAGCATACTTGATTGCTGCATATTCATCAGTACACCTCTGAAGTGGAAAAAGCCAGAATCACTTCTTCGAACCTGCCAGTCTACCTCCCGCCGGTGGTCCTTGATTGTTTCGACCAATTCGGAAGTCGGTCTTCCTACCACCATAAATACTTTTCTATAATACCGTCCTTACGGTCCAAATCGGTAGACTTGAGGCATTGACGTGGATAGCGTGATCGTGTGCTAGGAAAGACAACGACCCCCGAGGCAACGTTCCAGGCTGTATCACGTCACGGCAGAACCCCGATTACGACAGAAAATTACAGGAAGATCCCTTCTGCAGGACCTTTGAAGTTATTTTTGCCTTCACTGTTCCACTCTTTGTTTTTGCACCAGGACATGTCCCTACCGCATTGCCTTCATATTCCTAATGAAGTACCCATATCAGTTTCCCAAACCCAGTAGAACCATGCTTACATTCACCTTGCACGATCCAGTTTATTCGACTTTAGTATTCTGCGCTCGAACTTTTTGTTCTCACCTTTGTTTTACCCTGTTCAGGGCCGTGCCAGAGGCCATTATTGGTTTGGTTTTGATTTGACTGTCTACTTGAGGCATTCCCAGTGTCTGGTCTGACTGCTGAAAATAAGTACTTTTGGTCCCCCCTTTTTAGAATATTTTCATCGTGCTATGGGTATGTAACCTTCATCAGTCACTGCTCACTTTCATCATACACGTTGATATTTCGAGTCGAAGAATTCATTGTTGCCTGCATGGTGCCAAGGCGTCGTTGTTGATGCCATCTTTTGCTTTGTATTGTAAAATGATTAACCGGCACAATAAACTTCACACATATATGACATGCCCATACACGATACAACTATGTGTTCTGTTCTCCTTGGGATATATTCTCAGTGCGCGTAATACAAGGCAGCTAAGTGGACTACATAGAAAGGATGAAGTGGTGTACTTTCGGTTGATCCGAAACCTACTCCAGACAGGGCACTGTTTTCTGACCGGGATAACCGGACTTTAGGCGTCACACTGATTTCCTAAAAAAGCACTCAACCCCTGTCTTTAGGACTCACATGGCTACCAAACGGGTGACGCACAATAGCCCCAGTATGTCACAAATCATTTCCACTCCTGGAGGGGACCTGGCTCCTCCTAAAGCAGGGAAACGGCGTGGCAGTCAC